CTCCTGCAAGAACTATCCTGAATGTGAAACAGGAGCCAGACTACCCGCATGCAGCCCAGAGAAACCAGTAAGTGAAAGCCTGTGGGTTCTGGGAATATTCCTAGATTGAGAGGAAAGATAAGAGGGGGAAAAAAGCCGCATACAACTTTCTTGGTAATATTGTATCTCCCCAATACTGACCACATCTTATTTTATTATTACTACTGCTTACTCTCTATTCATCCCAAAAGACCATTTAAGGTCGATAAGAGCCTTGGATTCAATCCTGAATTCCTAGTATACAGCACAGCTCCACATCCATGACAGATGTTAGCAAATTGTTGAGCAATAAATTTTCTAAAGTCAAATTATGCCTTTTTGAAATGGCTCAGTGCTGTCAAGCCTGATGACCTAAGTGCAATCCCTGGGAACCACAAGGTAGGAGAGAACCGGCTTCCACAAGTTGCCCTTGACTTCCTCACATGCTGTGGCACACATGTCTACCCACATACACTAAATTAAAAAATGAACAAATAACATGTAAATTTTTATTATGCCTCTTTATTTCTAGTAAGAACATGTCTGGCCTATCTCTGTAACAAATGCTATTCTTCTTCACTACTGTCTATAATGCATAACAGTATTCAAAAACACGCTCTGATTGGGGAAGGAGGTATATGTTAAACTAAAGAAAGTTCCACACAGACTATGATTTCTCCCATCTCACACTACATATATATACAGTGGGAGACAGGGTCTCAGTTATGGAGCCCAGGCTGGCCTTGGCTTCCCCGGTGCTGGAGTCACAGGCATGCACCATTTATGCTCTGATAGAATGATTAATAAACTAAGGTTTACTGATCTGCTAGGTTAATAAACCAGGATTTTGACAGCATGGTTAGTAAGTTCCTTTTTGGGCCTTTAATTCCATTTAACTGAAAGATTTTCCCAGAATGTTGCAACATACTGCAATACAATACTACAACAACATACTGCAATACTACAATAATACAATGGTGACAAGGACAGTATGTATTGAGTGCAACCACACACCAGGCTCCAGGTCAAGTGTTTTACTCAGTTATGCCTCATGATTTTTTTTCTGTTTGGTCTTTTTGAGACAGGGTCTCCCTGTAGCCCCAGCTGGCCTGCAACTCACTATGTAGACCAGGGGGACCTTGAACTCACAGAGATCCGCCTGCCTCTGCCTCCCGAGTGCTGGGACTAAAGGCATGTACCACCATGCCCAGCTGTGACAATCTTTTTTTTTTTTTTGGTCTTTTTGAGACAGGTTCTCCCTGTAGCCCCAGCTGTCCTGGAACTCACTGTTCAGGCTGGCTTGGAACTCACAGGGATCCGCCTGCCTCTGCCTCCCCAGTGCTGGAATTAAAGGCGTGCGCCACCACGCCCAGCGACAATCTTTTAAAATAGGCTATTACTATCCCCATTCTACAGGCAACTGAGTCACAGAGAGGTTAGTAGTCACAGAGCCAGAAAGCAGCAGAGATACAGTTAGGCAACCAAAAGTACAGACTTGCTGTCTATTTTGTTCAACATTCTACACAGACCTCTCCCCTACAGAATGTAACCAAGCAATAACCACTTAGATAAAACAGACAATAGGCCAGAGCTCACAACAAAAGTAGAGAGTACTGGGGCTTGGAGAGATGGCTCAGCAGTTAAGAACACTGGCTGTTCTTGCAGAAGACCCAGGTTCGAATCCCAGCACCCACACGGCAGCTAACAACTGTCCGTAACTCCAGTCCCAGGGGACCTGACAGCCTCTTCTGTCCTCCACGGGCATTGCACGACACGGTTGCACTTACCTACATGCAGACAATACACGCATACACATAAAATAAAAATAATGTTAAAATTTTTAAAAAGTAGAGAAAAGAGGAAAGTTCACAGATAGGCATGGTCCACTGGGACACTACACAGGAGACTTGAAGAAAGGGTGAGAGTCACTAGCCCACTGCCCATTTCCACTGACAGACCTCCCCAAGAGGGTGCCTGGCAGACAAACAAACAGTTCTGAAAGTCCTGCCATGGTGCCCATCTGATTGGCCTTCTCCTATCTGGTAACCACCTGAACTCTGGAGATCTGACATTTGCTGACTGGCAACAATCCTAAGACATCTCAGACCGTGTTACTAAGTAGACTGCTAGGCCTCCTACAGCCAGTGTGAATGTATGGTCCAGCTGATAGAGGGCAGAATAGGGATGATATAGGGACAGGGCAATGGCAGGGTCAAACTGCTGCTCACCTGTAGACCAGGAAACTGATCAAGCCAAGTTCACCATCTGCCCGTACTGCCTGAGTGACACAGAGACCTGCCTACCTAAGAATTCAGTCACAGTTAGGTCAGGCCTGGCGGGGAATGCCTGTAAAGCCAGCACCTGAGAGGTAGAGCAAATTCCAGGCCAGCCTGGGATGCACAGTAAGACCCTGTCTCAAAAGATGAAAACAAAAAAAACATCATTCGTAGAGAAGATGAAAGAGAACAAAACACAGCTGTTTCTCATGGGTTTTGTTTTGCTTAGTTTTATCTTTTTGAGACAGGGTCTCCCTGTAGCCCCGGCTGGCCTGGGACTTGCTATGTAGACCAGGTTGGCCTCGATCTCACAGAGATCCATCCGCCTCTGCCTCCCAAGTGCTGGAATTAAAGGCATGCATCACCACGCCCGTTTTAAAGGTAATTCCCACCAAGATTTCATGGTACTGTAAAAGGCTGGGATCCTATGCTATGAGACCCTGGACTAGCAAAGGTCAGGGATTTCTGTCAATTGACAACCTGGAGGAAGATGGCTTATTTGCATTCGGATTCAGGCTGACCTCTGGTTGGTTCTCCAAAGTCAGTGCCTCTGGGCCTCATTAGCTCCGTATGAAGAACTTGGCCATCATCGACTAGGGCAGACCTAGACTAAAGCCCACAAAGAATTTACACATAACCATGAGAAGCAAACTGTGAATACCTTAACCTGAAAACATAAGCAGAACCTAGAATTATCCTTAAAATTAACCCTTAAATTTCTGCAATTTAACCCTTAAAATTCTGCAAATTCTACTTAAAAATCAAAAAGCACTATGAAACTTGGTTTGGTAAGAGTATTCAGTCACATTTTTATAACTTTATTTAAAAATTTATTATGTTTATTTATTTGTATGTGTGGATATGTAAGTACATGCAGAGGTCAGAGGACAACTTGTGGGAGTCAGGTCTCTCCTTCCACCATGTGGGTCCTGGGGATAGAACTCAGCAGGCACCTTCAATCCCCTAAAACCATTTCGCAGGTCCCAACTTGACATTACTGAGATAGTCTCATGTAACCCAGGCTGGTCTCAAAGTTGATTTCTGAGGATGACCTGTGAACTTCTGATCCCTCTGCCTCTACCTCCTGAGTGCTGGGATTAGAGGTGTGTGCCACTATACCTGGTTTTACGGGGATCAAACCTGGGACTTTGTGCATGCTAGGCAAGTACTCCATGAACCCAGTTACACCCACAACCCCATGTGGGTTTTTTTTTTTGGTTTTTTGGTTTTTTTCGGTCTTTTTGAGACAGGGTCTCCCTGTAGCCCCAGCTAACCTAGAACTCGCTATGTAGACCAGGCTGGCCTCGAACTCACAGAGCTCTGCCTGCCTCTGCCTCCCAAGTGCTGGGATCAAAGGTGTGCGCCACCACACCCGGATACAAACCATGCTTTTATTTTTTTTTGCTTAGACTGGTAATATATGGTTCGTTATTTTGGAAAATAAAGCCTACAAAAAAATCTTAAAAAGTGGGGGCTGTAGAGACAAATGGCTCAGTAGTTAAGAGTATGTACTATTCTCACAGAGGGCCCAACTTCAGTTCCCAGCACCCACACTAAAGAGCTTACAATCACCTGTGACTCCAGCTCCAGAAAATCTGACACCTTGGCTTCACAGGCACCTGTACTCACATGCACAGACTCATACACAGACACACATATACACACATAATTAAAAATAAATCTCTTTTTTTAATTTGAGACAGGGTCTCCCTGTAGCCCCAGCTAACCTAGAACTCGCTATGTAGACCAGGCTGGCCTCGAACTCACAGAGCTCTGCCTGCCTCTGCCTCCCAAGTGCTGGGATCAAAGGTGTGCGCCACCACACCCGGCTACAACCCATGCTTTTATTTTTTTTTGCTTAGACTGGTAATATATGGTTCGTTATTTTGGAAAATAAAGCCTACAAAAAAATCTTAAAAAGTGGGGGCTGTAGAGACAAATGGCTCAGTAGTTAAGAGTATGTACTATTCTCACAGAGGGCCCAACTTCAGTTCCCAGCACCCACACTAAAGAGCTTACAATCACCTGTGACTCCAGCTCCAGAAAATCTGACACCTTGGCTTCACAGGCACCTGTACTCACATGCACAGACTCATACACAGACACACATATACACACATAATTAAAAATAAATCTCTTTTTTTAATATTTTATTATTTTTATTTTATGTATATGAGTGTATTGCCTGCATGTGGGTAAGTGCACCCATGTCATGCAATGCCCATGGAGGATGGAAGAGGCTGTCGGATCCCCTAGAACTGAAGTTATGGACAGTTGTTAGCTGCCATGTGGGTACTGGGATTTGAACCCAGGTTTTCTGCAAGAACAACCAGTGTTCTTAACCACTGAGCCATCTCTCCAGCCCCAAGATAAATCTTTTTTAAAATCTAAAAAAACACCAGCCCTTGGGAGGCAGAAGCAGGTAGATCTCTTAAAAAAATCTAAAAGCATATCATTCATAGTCCTGGAAAACCTCTGAAAAATGAGACTTCTAAGCAGTAATCTTGAGCTTAACACAAGAAAAATAAAATATCTCTAGAGCGCCAAGCTGTCCCCAGTAAAGTCACTCCACCACTGCTCACTTTTTCCTGCTTATCCAAACCCACCACTTTTGCTTTTAGTAGGAAGCTTCATTTTTAGGAAATAAACTATTGAGCTGTCTTTGGTATAGGGAAGTGTATGGAAACAAGCAATGACGCCACTCACCAAATTTGTAACAATCTCCAGTGCCTCCACGTGCCTCCCCAGGTGAACCAGGCACCGAGCCTGGCCTTCCTGGACATCCCTTTTCATGGCAAAATTGGTAGGTGACAGCTTTTCAGAGATACTCAAGTATTCCTGCAGTGCTTTCTGGCAATTATTTATTAAAAGAAACAAGCAGAAACAGAGAGAAGGGGCAAAAAGAAAAAGAAGAAAAGAATTCAGCATAGGGATGACTTTTTCCTATATGGAAAGTAATATTATAATTGACCCTCCAATGACCTAAGGGAGACCTAAGTATTTTAACTAGTACTGTTACTATCTTTTCTAAAAGTACAGATGGAATGGCTGCAGGTTATAGTATCTACAACTACAGTATCACAGTACTGGAGACAGAACATTCTGGAAGCAAACAGAACAGGCTTTGAATCTGGGACTTTGCTATATATTTACCAGTATTTGCATGAAGAGGGAACAGGATGTGTATGTGAAGCAATCTGACATCTAACTGTTCATTTTTCTCTTTTCTGACATACTTTGGGGTACTCTGCCCCATGACATGCTGGAGATTCACACATGAGGGGATACAGAGCCTGGGGGAAATAGGGACCCCCAAAATATTTTTGGGTTGGAATTATGAAAAACAAAACATTCTATGGAGCCACACAGAAAAGGACAGAGACTTGGGAACATAAGATTACCGGCACCCATCACTAAAGACAATTCATCCCCACAAATGACACACTCCCAACTCAGCACACTGTTATTTACATGTGCCACTGCTGATAAAACAAGAGCCCACTTCAAGTACCATTCTGACCCATCTAGAGTCCCACCTCATATTCCTGCTGTCTGTAGGCCAGGTCCCCTCTGAATTTCTTCAGAGTTAGAACTTCAGTATCATCACTGCTCTCTGTTTCTTCATAAAACCACTAGAAAGAAATCAGGAAGATAGCATTTATTATATGGTAATGCTATGCTTTTCCACTTTACGCTCAAAACCAACTTCCTATAATACAACTAGTTAAACCTCAAATAAGACTTACTTCAGGATGAGACTCAAGGGAAAACACTGAACAAAAAAGGGTTGAATTTGTACGTTTGAGGCAAGCTTTGATCACATGCCTCCCAAGTGCTGAGGTTAAACAGGTATCAACATGCCAGACCAAACATGTGGTTGTGTGCACATGTATGTGTATAAGCAAGCACAAATGTGCATGTGTTGTAAGAGGCAGGTCGATGCCAGGTGTCTTCTCTATCACATGCCATCTTGATTTTTTTTAAGATAGGGTCTCTCAGTGAACCTGGATTTCACCAATTGGCTACACTGGCTGGCTGGCAAGCCCCAGGATCTTCCTGTCTCTACCTTCCAGTGCTGGGATTATAGGTATGTGTCACCATGTAGGTTTTTGGTTGTTGTTTGGTTGGGTTTTTTTGTTTGTTTTGTTTTTTGAGACAGGGTCTCCCTGTAGTCCTACCTGTCTTGGAACTCTCTATGTAGACCAGGTTGGCCTTGATCTCACAGAGATCCTCCTGCCTCTGCCTCCCCCAGTGCTGAGATTAAAGGCCTGCACCACTGCATCTAGCTCCATGCCATTTTTTACATGGGTGCTCTGAATCTGAACTCAGGTCTTCATGTTTACACACCAAGCACTTTACCCACTGAGCCATCTCCCCAGCCACCAATGGTAATTTTAATGATGGCCCAGCTTTTTTCCTTTTTTCTGACATTATTTACTGCATGTGCGTGGGTACACACATGCCATAGTGTGGATTCTAGGGATTAAACTCAGGTCCTTGGGGTTAGTAGCAAACACCTTTACCTGCTAAGCCATCTCACCAGTGGCTCAGTTTTTATTAAAATTATCCCAAGTATAGGGCCAGTGACATTTTACCTGGTGGGTAAAGGTACTTGTTGCCAAGCCTGACAGCCTGAGTTTAATGCCTGCTACCCACACGGTGGAATAAGAGGACTGACTTCACAAGTACACAGGCACTGTGGCATGTGCACCCACACATACACAATTAAATAAATGTGACAAAAGTTTTAATTATCACAAATATAAGCATGCCAATAACATATTTCTTAAAAAAAAGGCAGCACATAGTTTTCTCTGTCATTTTCAGTACACAACATTGCAACTGGAAACTGCATTCACCTTGCACAGTTCACAATGTCTAGAGCAGCTTTCTTGCAGAGCAATTTTAGAGTGAACAGGAACTGACAACTCTTTTATTCGAAGGGCATAGGAAACAGTAATTATGAGGATGGTGCTTTTATGAAAATGTTACAAAGGAATTCAAGCAGAATTTAAGCAAAAGAGGCAGAAACTAAGCCAGGCATGGTGGCACACACCTTTAGTTCCAGCACTTCAGGGAGAGGCAGAGGCAGACAGATCTCTGTAAGATGAAGCTAGCCTGGTTCACATAATGAGTTCCAGGTCATCTGGAGCTACAGGAAAATCCTGACACAAAAAATACTAAAAAGCAAAAAAATAAGGCAAAAGGGGGCTTCCAGGAACTGAAGACCAGAGGTTCAGAGGACAGTCTGAGGAGCATGCCAGTCCAGAAGACTTTTCCCACTTTAATACTGATTTGAACATCCTGGGTAGAAAGTTAAGTGAGACTGAGATTTAACTATCAAAGAAAAATCACATGGGGCTGGAGAGATGGGTCAGCAGTTAAGAGCACTGACTGCTCTTGCAGAGGACCTGGGTTCAATTCCCAGCAACATGGTCTATAATAACCATCTGTAACTCCAGTTCCAAGGAATCCAACACCCTCTTCTGACCTCCACAGGCACTACAGCACAAGGGTGCACCTACCTACACGCAAGCAATACACTCATACACATAAAATTAAATTTAAAAAATAAATAAGAAGCTCTTTTTAAAAAGGAAAAACACTAAAAACAAAACAGAACAAACAAAAGCTGTCCTGTGAAGCTGTGAAACTTCCCAACACCCACTCAAGAGAATCTTGGATTGGAGGCCTGTGATCTAACTGCTGTGGGCTGTGAGGACCTAGCTTCTGCTTCTACCCACAGAAAAACCCTTAGGGGAATTAGTCTATTCAAGAGCACCTTGGTCCACAACAGGGACACTGTGCTGAGTGACACCTGGAAACCGCCAAAATGTAACCTGCAAGCAAGGGCTTCGAACAACCAACTTAGATGAGGGAAACCACGCATTGATAATGGCTGAGAAAAAGAGAAATCCATACTTGACATTCCTACGTGGTGTGTAAGAGAAACAGAATTTAAGAGTGAAAATCCCATTCCAAGAAACATGGGTGTATTCTGACCCAAAATCACATACAAAGGAAAGGGAGTGGGCCCTTACTTTGGCACACCTGTGTGTAAAAACTATAGACCAAAAAAACAAACAAGCAAATAAAACAAAACTATAGATCACTGACACTCTAATAACATTTCTCTGGCACCCAGTTCAAATGGGTTATGTAAAATACATGGGGTTTTTCATTTAATAATAGAAGGCATGAAGTCAAGAGTGGGGGAGGGGCATAAGGTGAGGGTGGAGATGGAGGTTTGAATACAATAAAAATTCATTGTATGAAATTCTTGGATCAATAAAATTTCTCTAAAACTTAGTAAAAAGGAAAAACACAAAACACGACGAAAAACGTTGTGTGACCATTTTATCAGCTCAAACATCATCTACTACTCCATTTTACTGTTAGGGTTTGGACCCACAGCAACTCCCCCCACCTAATGCAGCAGGGTCCATGGGTTCCAAGCCCCTGAGAATGCAGGAACTGAGTTGATGAACACCCAGGTCTTTTAAGTCAAAAGAAGCAGACTTTTCTGCACCTTTTGGCCAAAGGCAGCTTGCTTTCCCTTTGATGATCTTGGAAGACAAGATAAACAGACTCCACCTTTTGACCAGAGACCCAAGGAGTCAGATCCTAGCTGACAGATGGAAGCGGACGGTTTTTAACAGAAGCTGTTCTGATAAGCCCTGGGCTCCCGCTCTCCCCTGCCTAATTTTAAAAAATATGTTCCCGCCTTCTGCATCCCCCCAGGCACGCCCCTATAAAGACCCCAGCCCACATTTTCCCTGTCCCGAAGGAAATCTATCCCCTGCGAATTTTCCTTTGCTAATAAACTCTATCCCACTGGAGTTTTTATGTGTCCTGATGCTTTCTCCCTATTGACCCGATTCATCTATCCGCTTCATCTATCATTTACAATAAAACACGCTAAGGTTGAACAGTTTGTCTCTAAATACTGACAACTCAAGTGTAGCTCTTATATTCTAGAGGCATGCCTCTACTTCCAAAACCTCTAAGGCTTGCTAAATTCGTATCTATCCTTCCCCTGAGCCATCGCTGTGGGGAAACCTAGGAAATCACCTTTTCCTTGTTCTTTCAGCACTGCTGTCACTCATTTTTAGGTATCTGACCCAGTTATCCCGGATACTCTAAACAGCTATGTAATCACAAACTGGTTTTAACTAGCCATTCCCAACTCTGACAGTAATCGACGAACCTCTCCATCCAGTTCTCATTATCCTACAAGGAAATGATGAAGCAAGGTTGGCTTTCAGTTATTTTTATTCTCCCGGGTAGCCTGCAAGCCTACAAGGATGCTGCTGCTCCAGATCATGGCGGGGCGGGGGGCTGGGAGTTGACCGCCCGGACAGGCAGGGAAAGAGGTGTCCGTGCTTCCGAGACCCGGCGTCTCCAGGCGGCGGAAGAAGCACACACAGCGCCAGCCCCGCGGAGCCTGCGGAGGGAAAGGGCTGGCGGGGACCTGCGGTGGTCAGGTCAGGAGCCGAGGCCCTCCGTCTCACCTGAGGTTCGCAGCGCTTGGCGCCGTAGGGCATCGGCGGCCGAGACAGCCGCTCCCGCCTCTCCTCGAACACAGAGTCCTCAAACTCCCCGCCGAGCACCCAGCACCCAGACTCCATCGCGCGGATGCACCCGGCCATCGAGCCGATATGACGCCTAGAGCGGTACCCAGCACCCAGGCTCCATCGCGCGAGTTGTGCGGAAGCGAGACAAGGCGGCATGTAGAGCGGCACCCGCGCGCTCCCCGCCGGGAAGCGGTGGGCGGCCGGCCGGAGCGCAGCATGCTGGGATTGGTAGTCTTCGCGCGGGTGTGGGCAGTGCCCGCATGGGGAGGTCCTAGTGGAGCTCAACACTCGTTCTCAGAACAAGGTTTGGCTTCTCCGTGTCAGGAGCGGGAGAGAGTAGTCTTTACCAGTGGCCCTCAGAAAGTACGGGTCCCGGTTTAAGTACCTGTCTTATGTGTCTTCTCTCAACAACAACGTGAAAGGCACAGTAATTCCTATTCTGCAAATGAAGATCTTGGGGCTTGAAGAGGTCCAGTAAACTCGCCCAAAATGAGTTACCTGGCTAAGGATCTGGGACGTACAGAAGCCCTGCGTCCCCAAAGAGACGTCACCACCAATAACAGCGACAAACCGATTCACGCATTTATAAAACAAACAGAAATTTAAGGGCTTGATCAGACTAACATTAGAATTTTTAGCCCTTCAAGAAATTTCTTGACTCTAGAAAGCGGAGATCATGGACAAAACACTGGCCAGTATTGCTACAACACAGTATTGCTGTTAATACACAGCTGGTAACAGTTTACCCCTGGTTTTTCTATTTACCCTTACACTCACCAGCCCCTCTTCCACCATTTGCCTTTCAGGGTTCATTATTCAACTCAGTTTTCTAATTTATACACTAATACAGGGGAACCTAAGCCACCTCCTCCCCAGGTTTCAAAATCCATTTCTGATAACTCATAAAATGTAGAACCAAGCCATTTATTCAACAGCCTTGATCAAGAGGCTACATTATGCAGCTTCCAGGCATTAGCTACTGATAAATTCATCCAGAGGAAGTCCATTTTTCAATAGCTGTTATCTCATCAGAAATGTAATGCTCTATAGTAAGAAAAATTTGGATACTACAGAAAAAGAAAAAATTCAGATTACTGAGAAGCAATGAGGTCCGAAGAAGGTAGAGCTATTTGTCGTAATTCACATAGGCCCTGTCTTAGCAGAGAAGGTAATACAACATAATATTGAGGGGCTGCAAGAGCCACATTCTTCTGGTTTCATGATCACAGTTCACTAGCTGTATAGCCCAATGTCTGAAGTGGGTATTAAAGTAATGCACGTAAAGTACTTGTCAGATGGCCAGAGGGTGACATGTGTTCATTCAAAATTGCCATTCCAGGAACAGAAAGAGCAGAGTAAAGGCAGGCAAGGATTGCTTTTAGCTTTTACTTTATGAAAACTGTGGGAATTTCTGCCCTCTCCTGTTCTGAGGCTTGCTAGGTCTAGCCTTCTCCTGGTCTAACAACTGAGCTAGAGATTCTTCTGAGAGGGCTTGGTGTGTGTAGATGATAGTTGTTTGTCCTTTGGACTCAAGATGCCTAGGCTCAGAGGTTTCCAACCTTTTACCACAAAGAACCTTTTCTGTTACTTTCCTCTCACAGTTGTGGAAGATCTGTGTACAAAATAAAGCTGTATTTATTAACTAATAATTGCATGATAGAATTCCAGTTGAAAGTGGAAGCTGTCTGGGAACATGGAAGATGGCAAACCGTAAACAGAATTGGGACTTTGGGGGCTGGAGAGATGGCTCAGCGGTAAAGAGCACTGGCTGCTCTTGCAGAGGATCCAGGTTCGATTCCTAGCACCCACATGGTAGCTAACAACCATCCATAACTCCAGTTCCAGGGGATCCTATGCCCTCGTCTGACCTCCACAGGCATTTCATGACACTGGTGTACCCACCTTCATGCAGGCATTACACGCATACACATAAAGTTAAAAAAAATAAATTTAAAAAAGAATTGGGACTTTCCCAATAATACATTTGAATGCCCTATTGCTCCTGAGGGCTCAGGTTCTGGGAACCTAAGTTGCAAACCATTGCCTAACTTGATAGGCCCCATGCCAGTAAAGCAATAAAACAGGACATTAGACACGGTATGACAGTTAAAACCATCTTATATCCTTAGGAAATGCAGGCGTTAGTGTTAGGGAGTAAATAGGAATTCTGAAACCATTAAATTGTTTGGTTGTGATTTTTGAAAAACTGTTTCTATAGTTTTGTATCTACAAAGGTCTGATTTTTTATTGAGGTGCCTGGTTGAGTTGCCCATCACAAGGCAGCTGCCACCTTCTTCAGACAACACTAGTTCCCCTGCTCTGTAATTCCCCACTGTGGCATTTCACACACAGTGGACTGTGGGAAGGTTAGATGTGGTATCTTTCACTCTTGTAAACCCAGTCCCCTGACAGGGCTTGGCCCAGGACAGCTCAATCAATGCCTGTTGAATGAATCGAAAGGGAGGAGCACCAGAGCACCAAAAAAGGCAGCAAAAATGCTTCTCAGCTTGGGTCTTGTATTCATGTCCTATCTGTGAGTTCGGGGGGGAGGGTAGAGCCAGTATTTCCCTGTGAAAGCTTCTCCCAGTCATGATAGTGAATATACCCATCCTGTACCCCATATTTCTTCCTGCAACCTTCCCAGCCCTGCCCCATACCTGCTCACCATTTCCTTTATCAGAATGCCCCCACCCCTGCCCTTTATCTATCCAACTATTCCCAGAAGCCTTTCCTGACCCCGAGCCTGGCTCCCATTGGCCTTGACCAGGTTCATAGAGCAACCTTGTGCTCTCTCTTCCAGGGCACTTTACATTCCCTGCAGCTGGAGTTTGGGCTCACTTTTTTGTCCCATGTTCACTAGTCAACCACTTCCAGTACGCCACACCACAAGCTCATTCTAGGCAAGGACTGCATCACTCATCTCTGTGTTTAGCACAAAGCACAGTGTCTGACACCTAGTAAGCCCTGACTCTGTTGAGTGGATTCATCTAAACTGCATTGCACACAGTACTCATTTATGAATTCTCTGCAGTATTCTATGTATCTCATGGCCTGTGCATGCAGCTCTGTGCCAGGAGCTCAGGATCTGTCATTCATGAGCCCTGCTGTCATAAAGCCCACACACATGTGGGGAAGACAGATGATAAACATGGGCACAACTAAATTATTTCATTACAGATTTTGATACTGTGCTGGAGTTACACTTTGAATGTGAAATGTACTCCGCTGATTCATTCTCAGAATGCTTAGTTCCCAACTTGTGGAGCCTTTAGGTAGGGTCTAGCTGGAGGAAGTGAGTAGGCCTTTGAAGGCTATATCAGCTTTTGGTTCCTGCCCAAGATCTTGGCCTCCTGGTCCATTAAGACGTGAAAAACTTCACCACATACTCCAGCCAAGACTTCCTGCTGTAACACTTTTCTTGCAGGACAAGCTGAAATCTCTCTGAGACCATGAACCAGAGTAAAACATTCCTCCCTTGTTTCTGTCACAGTGACAAGAAAAGTAAGTAGCAGGGCTGAATGGAGAACTTCAGCACTTAGTAATCTAAAATCTCCTTCCACAGAGGAATCACATCTCTCCTTTTCCTTTTCTGACCCAAGCAGTTTTGGCTGATATGGAGATTTGTAAGTATTTTTCTGCTTTTCCATCTTTTTGTTTCTTCAAATAACTTTCTAACGTTTATTTATTGGGGTGGCACATGAATGCCACAGTGTGTGTGTGGAGCTCAGAGGACAACTTGTGGGGGTTGGTTCCTCCTTCCATCATGTGGGGCTCCAGGATCAAACCCAGGTCATCAGGTTTAGCCTTAAACCACTGGGCCATCTTGCTGCCCCCTCGTTTCTTTTGATCAAAACTTTTTCTTCCATTTCTGGTATGAGAGTCACCCCCACTAATTCTCATGGATAATTTACCAACATAACATTAAATTTTGAGCTCATGCATACATATATTTCCCACATTCTGCAAATTTTTATAGTAGATCCATTCACTGATTCAACCAGAATTTGTTAAGTATCTGCTGTAAGCCAAGAACAGTTTTCAGAGTGAAGGACACAGTGATAAGAAAGACAAGATCCTTACTCTTGGGGCTAGAGAGATAGATCAGAGTTAGGAACCCTGGCAGCTCTTACAGAGGACCAGAGTTCAGTTCCCATGAGCACCCAAATGGTGGCTAACAACCACCAGTAACTCCAGTTTCAGGGAATCTGATGCCCTCTTCTAGCCTCCACAGGTACTGCATACATGGCCACATACACATAAATTTAAAATATTATTTTTATTTTATGTGTATGTGTGTATTGCCTGCATGTAGATAAGTGCACCCGTGTCGTGCAATGCCTGCGGAGGACAGAAGAGGCTGTCAGAGCCCCTGGAACTGGAGTTACAGACAGTTGTTAGCTGCCATGTGGGTGCTGGGATTCGAACCTGGGTCTTCTGCAAGAACAGCCCATGTTCTTAACTGCTGAGCCATCTCTCCAGCCCCACATACACATAAATTTTCTAAAAAAAAAAAAAAAAAAAATTTTTTAAAATAAAAAACCCTTTCCCTCAAAAAACTTTTTTTTTGGTCTACATAGTGAGTTCCAGGACAGCTGGGGCTACAGGGAGACCCTGTCTAAAAAAGACCAAAAAAAAAGAAAAAAAAACAAAAAAAAAACTTCTATTTTAAGGAGAGGACAAATAATAATCACTCTATAGTCTTAGTATGGGGTCCTTCCCCCTGGATCCAGAAGAGACCTAATTACAAATTATTAAGCATGTCCATTCTAACCTGTGAGGGGGCTGCAAAAGGACTTTTTTTTTTTTTTTTTTTTGCATGACCTGGAATTTGGACTAAAATGCAGTGTGCACTGCTTGAAAGCACTGCAAGGAACTGCCTGCAAATTCTTGGGGCAGATGATTAGTCAAGTCATGAAACACACCACAAAGGCCAGAAGAGAAAAACTGGAGGAAGATTCTTTGGAAAATTAGATATTCTGGAGTTTTTGTGTATTTGGGAAAATTTAGAAAGCCACACACATGCCCAGAGCAAGATGTATGTACAGAAAAGAACAGGAAGCTGGGTGTGGTGGCACATACCCAGCACTCAGGTGGCAGAGGCAGGCATATCTCTGTGAGTTCTAGACCAGCCTGGTCTACATAGCAAGTTCCAGGCCAGCTGGGGCTATAGGGAGACCCTGTCTCAAAAAAACAAAACAAAAATAAATGTACTTATTATTTTTATATGTATGAGTACAGGAAGACACTAAGCTTTTGATGTGGTTCTTCAACGTTTTAGAGCCCCAGCAATGGTCAAAGACTGGAATATGGCTCTCCCCACTCATCTTTTTCTGTTTTCTTTTCTTTCTTTGTTTTTTAAGACCATGTCTCTTTCTGTAGTTCACACTTGCCTGGAATTTGCTATGTAATTCAATCTGACTTCAGGCCTCCAGTTTCCACTTCCTAAGGGTTGGTGAAAGTATAGCGTGCCTGTAAACAAAACAGTTCTCGGTTCTCTTTTCTTTTTTACAACATATTAGGAGTTGTAGCCAAAGAAATTAGGTGAGGAAAATTTTAAAAAGGCATCCAAACTGAAAAGGACATCTATTCACAGACATGATCCTATGTATAAACAATTCCAAGGAATCCACAAGAGAGCTGGGATATCTAATAAATGAACTGGGCAAAGTTTCAACTTATAAGATCAACAAACAAAATGAATTGTGTTTTCATACACTAGCAAGGGACAATTCAAAAGGGAAAGTAAGAAAGCAATTCCACTAACATCAGCAGGGGATCTGATATCCTCTTCTGGCCTCTGTAGACACATGGTAGACTCTGTAGACTTACATGTACAACCATACCCACCTAGTCAATTAATTTTTGATAAGGGTGCAAAGTTTGTTCCATGGAGGGATAATAGTTGCTTCAACAGATGGTTCTCAGACAAAGAGATTATCAAATGTAAAAGAATGAAATTGGAAATGGCTAGGAAAACTGATTATCTACATGTGTAAGAATGAAACTAGATCTTTATCTCACCCTGTACAAAATAATGAATTCCTGTGTGTCAAAGACTTTAATGTGGGGCTGGGTAGATGGCGTGGTAAAGTTCTTGTCAAGCATAAAGACCCAAGTTTGATCCTCAGAACCACATATAATTAATAATAATAATAAAAGCCAAGTGTAGTGGCACTTGCCTTGCCTGAAATCCCAACAGTGGAGAGGCAGAAACAGGAGGATCCTGGGGGCCAGAGATGATGTAAGGAAAGAGACCCTTACTCACTGCTGGTGGATGTAAACTGGTGCCACTACTATGGAAATCAGTAGGGAGGTTCCTCAAAGAACTAAACATAGGGTTGACTGGCTAGATGGCTAACCACTTAGAGACGCTTACATATATGCATGACAACCTGAGTCTGTTCCTTGGTTTCCACAAAATGGAAGAAGAGAACTAACTACTGAGAGTTGTCCTCTGACCTGTGCACACACGTGCCATGGTACATACATGCCTACATTCACACACATACACATACATGACACACATAAAAATTTTTAAATATTTACCTACCATATACTATTCCCAGGTATATACACCCAGAGAAATCTAAGTCACATACCACAGAAATACTTCAACACCCATTGCTGTACTAGTCACAATAGCCAAGTTATATAAACAGCCTAGATACCCATTAATAGATGGATAGATTTAAAAAATTTGGACTATATACACAATGGAGTTTTACTCAGCTATAAATAATGAAATCATGTCATTTTCTGGAAAATGGATGGAAGTGGAGGTTGTCATGTTAAAATGAGAAAGGCAAGCCGGGCATGGTGACATACTCGGGAGGCAGAGGCAGGAAGATCTCTGTGAGTTCAAGGCCAGCCTGGTCTACATAGTGACTTCCAGGACAGCTGGGGCTACAGGGAAACCCTGTCTCAAAAAGACCAACAAAATAAAATAAATTAAATTAAATTAAAAAGGCTCAGAAAATATTGCCTGCTTTCTCTCACAAGCAGCATCTAGCTTTAAATACAAATATGTGTATCTATCTATCTACCTACCTACCTACCTATCTATCTATGACATGACCATATACATATATGTTTCTTTCTTTCTTTCTATCTATCTTATATCTGACATAATCACACACATCTATAATATGAAAGTAGAAGGGGGACCACAAGGGGAAGGAAGAGGCCTAAAGGGAGAGGAAAGGGGGAACAAGAGGATAATTGGGGAAAAGGCAAAATATTGCATATTTTCTCTCATATGGAATGCAGATTTATATATGTGACACGAAAGCAGAAGAGGGATTGTCTGTGTGGAAAAAAGGGACCAGCAAGAGGTGGGGAGGAAGTATGATGAGGGACAAATATGAACAGGGTATGATGATGCATATGTACAAAAACATCTAATGGTGCAGTGAGCCAGCTCAGCTAGTAAAGGCACTTACTGCCAAGCTGATGACTTGAGTTCCATGTTCAGAACCCACACAGTGGAAACAGAATTGACTCCCACATGCTATCCTCCACACCAATCTGTGCACTAAATACTAAACAAGTAATAAATAAATATAATATTTTTTACAACGTCACAATAAAATTCATTGTTTTGTATGATAAAAAATTTCTGTAAGATTTTTTTTGAGATGGGGTCTCCCTGTGGCCCTAGCTAGTCTGGAACTCCCTATGTAGACCAGGCTGGCCTGATCTCACAGATATCCACCTGCCTCTGCCTCCCAAGTGCTGGGATTAAAGGTGTATGCCACCACACCAGGCTGTATGCGTTAAAAAAAAAAAAATTCCAAAACAAAAACCAGAATGAAATTGGACTCCTTACCTCATACAATACACAGAACTAACTAGAAATGATTAAACAACCTAAATACAAGAATCCAAACCATAAAACTCTTAGAAGAAAATACATGGATTGAACTTGACAGTGGCTTTCAGACATGATAGCAAAAGTGTGAGCAGCAAAGAATAGAAAACTGGACTTAAGGAAAACTGAAAATTTGTGAATTACCAATAAAGTGAAAATACAACCTACCCAATGGGAAATTACAACCAATTCTCATTGCTCACAATGGTTATTTTCTACAAAGGCACCTCTATAGGTGGTTCAGTGATTAAGAGTACACTGCTCTTGCAGAGGCCCCAAATTCAGTTCCCAGCACCCACACTGGATAGCTCACAGCCACCTTTAACTCCAGTTCCGTGGGATCTGATGCACTCTTCTGGCCTCTGAAGGCACCTGCACTCATGTGCACAGACCTAAACATAGACACACATAATGCACATAATAATTTTTTATAATAAAAACAAGTCCCATAAAACAGAAAATACTGAGGCCAGGCATGGTGGTGCACAGCTTTAATCCCAGCACTTGGGAGACAGAGGCAAGCGGATCTCTGTGAGTTTGAGGCCAGCCTGGTCTACATAGTGAGTTTCAGGTCAACTGGAGTTACAGGGAGGCCCTGTCCAAAAAAAAAAAAAAAAAAAAAAGAGAAGAAAAGAAAAAGAAAATATTGAACAAGCAGATGTGGTAGAACATGCCTTTAATCCCAGTACTTGAGAGGTAGAGGGGCAGGGGGTTCAGGAATTCAAGGTCATTCTTGGCTACGTGGTGAGTTCAAAGCCAGCCTAAGTTATATGAGACCCTGTCTCAATAAAATAGGAAAATAGGGATTGGAGAGATGGCTCAGTCATTAAGAGCACTGGCTGCTCTTGCAGAGGCCTCAGGTTTGATTCCCAGCACCACATGGCAGCTAACAACCATCTATAACTCATTCCAGGGGAATCTAACGCCCCCTTCTGACCTCTGTGGGCATTGTACAACATGGGTGCACTTACATGCAGGCAATACATTCATATACATAAAATAAAAATTATATTTTTTAAAACACCATAAAATATTTCACCCACTAAGGTGGCTATCATTTTTGTTCTCTACTTTAGGTTTACTACATTATATAATAACCTTTTTTTGGTCTTTTTGAGATGGAGTCTCCCTGTAGCCCCAGCTGGCCTGGAACTCACTGTGTAGACCAGGCTGGCCACGATCTTAAGAGAAATCTGCCTGTCCGTTCCTCCCAAGTGCTGGGATTAAAGGTATGTGCCATCATGCCCAGCTTTATATAGTAAATTTTAAAACTGAAAATAAAAGGTATGGACAAAGATGGGAGAAACTAGAACCCCTTGACATTGCTAGTTAAGTGGAAAATGTATTAATAACGTGGAAAACATTTTAGCACTGTGTAAATGAATTTGGTGATTCCTCATAAAGTTAAGCAAGCAGTTATAATGCTAGGTATGTTGGTGCACTCCTGTAACCCTAGCAACTCAGAAGGCTGAAGCAAAAAGATTGTGAGTTCAAAGCCAACCTGAGCAACAGTGAGTTTGAGACCAGCCTGGGCTATATATATTAATAGCAAGACTCTATCTAAAAAAAAAAAATTAAACATATGCTAAAGGTAGAAACAACCTAGTGTCTGTCAATTAACAGATGAGGGGATAGTCAAAAATTAGCACATAAGGAAATATAATTCAGCCATCAAAAGGGAAAGTTCTGATATAAGTCACAACATGGATGACCTTGAAAACATTATGCTAAGTAAAATAAGGCAGACACAAAAGGAAAACCTGTATGATTCCACTTACTTGAAATACCAAGACTAGGGAAATTCACAAGGACAGAAAAGTAGATCAGAGGTTACTAGGGGAATGGGGGGAATGTGGAGTTATTGCTTAATAGCTACAAATTTCTGTATGGGGTGCTGAAAATTTTTGGAAATAAGTGCTGGTTGTGCAACACTGTAAATATAATTTAGTGCCATTAAACTGTATACTTAAAATTAGTATAACGGCAAATTTTACGTCTATTTCACCAGAATTTTTTAAACTGGCTTGGTAAAACAGGAAAAAAAATCACTGAAAACTGCTAATCACTGCTAACTTTTATTTTGTTTTCAAGAACACAATCAACCAGGAGAGAAAGGTTCTTTTGCTCTGTCAGATAAGTATATTCGAAAGCTAACAAACATCAGAGCAGAATTTAATCAAGCCTACAAAAGAGCTGGGAAAATCACTAATATTATTTACAACTATACAGAGTCAACATATTGCAAAGGAACCATAAATATATTCAAAAGCTTGCCTCCATTACTTGACATTTCTGATTCTGAGAACATTAAAATTCTGTCAAATAATAGTCAGACCACATTAGCAATGGTTTAAAAAGGGGAGCGATTTAATCATTATAATACAGAGTACTTTAAGAAGTTTTTAAATGTGTAAAAGAAAAAACAGTTTAGTGCATTCAACTGTTACAGTCTTTACATTGCTTCTTTTTAAAAAAGTGAACAGTAGTATGAAAAAGCCGCCCACAAAGCCAGCTGCCTGAAGAAACCAGCAAACTGTAGCATTTGGGATTGCTAATAAAGCTATAGTTAAAAAATACAAAGTTTATAAAAATGAAAGCAGCATGCAGAGTCAAGGCTTTTTCATAACATCTTCATTAGCTGACAAAAATTTAACCAAGAGCTTAATATTTATTAATCATTAAATTAGATAAAGTAAACTGGCCAAACCCACTATATGTGATCATTCAGAAAAACATTTCAAAAGACCATATCTAATTAAACTGGACATTTGTTCTATGAGGAAAGCACATTTTGAAAAATGGTCCTATGATCACAAAAGGAAGGGTCCTTCCCAACATGAAGGACAGCATCTGTCTTGACAGTTTATAAACTCGGAGGGACTTTAGAACTCCTGATTGGCAAGAGTTACCAGCTAACAAGGCCATCATTCACAAGTGAAAGCTAACTTTTAACTCATTAGGATCAGTTCAGAATTTTCCTTCTCTATTCACTGAAATTGTTACACAAGTTAGAATTTCGCCAAAAGGTAATTCTGAAATATAGGTGTCAGATCAGAATTTTCCAATATTTCTGATTTCCACAATTGTAAGAAAACACTTACATATATTTTATTATGTTATACTTGTTCACATTTTTTTTGGTACAATATGTTTCACTTTATTCAACGTCTTGTGGTTTTGTTTTTTCATTTTTCCCTTCTTGGGTAGTACCTTCAGTTTAATAAAAAGCAAACCAGCCTCTAATGAAAAAAGGAACTAAAGTATTACATGAGGAAACAGTGGTATACATAGGTGTGTTTAATGAAAGATCCATCCAATCATTAAGGGCTGGCAACACTACAGAATCTTACTGTTCCAACGTGCAAATAGGCCACTTTTACACAAATAAGCCCAAGCACAATTTAAAATTTTGGCATAGGATCTGATAAATAAGACACAGAAGTAAATTAGGATTTGGTTTTTTCCATTTCTAACAGTTTTTACTCTGTAAAATGTTTGGTCACTCAAAGCTATAAGCTTAATCACATGTCAAAGCATAGAGGCAATACAGCCCATCATACTGGACACACAGCAGGAAGCTGGGCTAAATATGAGGACAAGCTTTAGTGGTCATTAACCCCTTAGAAAGCTGAAGATTTGCATCTCTATCCTACCGGAATAAAAATGAGCTGTATTAAAATGTCACTTTTTACAAGTTGTTTTTTAATTAGTGTTCTATTTACATTGCAGAACTTCCAACAACTGCAGTAGTTTAACTTTGGCACATTAAGTTCCATTTCTTTTGGATATTGGATCCTGTTTTTTGAGAGTGTGTATGCCCCAAAGCATTTTCAGTGTCATCAAAGATTGGGCCCATTCACAGTAATTCAGACATCTTGAGTTGAAGAGCTGACTCTCCTTCAACATTTTAAGCAGCTATAAAAGAAAACAAAAACCCTGAAACTTTAAAGAAAGCCGTATTTAAAATTTTTGCTTTTAAAATAAAAATCATAACCAATTATCTACAAAATACATCCTGTGTTTTCTTTGATAATGAAATCACTTACCACATCTCACATATTTTGTGTAAATCATATGTTCTTCATATGCCACATTTGCTTTTAGACATTTATTGCCTTTCTGTAATCATTTATGAAAATTATTAGGTGATAATAATTGTCATTGTCAGCACTTGTAATAAACAAATTATGAAGTCTAGCCAGGCGTGGTGGTGCACGCCTTTAATCCCAGCACTTGGGAGGCAGAGGCAGGCGGATCTACATAGTGAGTTCCAGGCCAGCTGGGACTACAGAGAGACCCTGTCTCAAAAAGACAAAAAAATATATATATATGAAGTCTAAAGATCTATAGTTTTTCTGTTTATACACAAGGCTGGATGTGCAAAAAATATATATGTACTTTGTTTTGCAATAACTACTTTGGGAAGATTTTGATAACTTTTTAAAAGATTTATTTTTATTATTATTTTAAAATTCTGTATGTGTAGTGTGTGTGTGTGTGTGTGTGTGTGTGTGTGTGTGTGTGTGTGTACATATATAATGCCTGAAGGAGGCTAAAGAAGGTGTTACATCCCCTGGAACCTTGTAGGTGGTTGTGAGCCATCTGATATGGATGCTGGGACTTGAACTCAAGTCCTCTGGAAGAGTACAAGTGCTCTTAACTGATGAGCCATCTCTCCAGCCCTGGTAACTTTTTAAATAAGCTGAACCATATTTAAATAAAACTTTTAAGAGGAAAACTATGTTGAATGCCTTTCGAAACAAAAATTTTGTTAAACCAACAATAACATGTTAATTAATGTGTCTTATAATTTTAGACTTCGGAGTATTTCTTAAATCTTGTGTGTATGGTGCATGCTATATACATATTCGTTGTATGCACATGCATGTGAGGGTATGCACACACACATGTGCAGGACACAGGTAGGTGTTGGGTATTTTCTTTCACCTTATTTTTTGAGGCAGGGTCTCTCAGTGAACCCAGTGGAGCTAGCTCACTGATTCAGCTACACTAGTCCAGTGAATTCAGAGACCCACCTGTCTCCACTCCCCTACCCTTAGATGGGTGCTGAGGATCTGAACTCAGGCAAACACTTTACCCATTGAACCATTTTCCCAGCCCCGACTTCTGTGTATTTTAAAAGCAGAACATGCTTCTGTATGAACCCAGTGAGCACATATACCACATATAATGCAAACTTTTGGAAACTAGCCTTATGTGACTCTTATGACCATAATTAGCATCTATAACCATGTCATTACATAATTTAAGTCAGCTCCGAATAAACTTCACAGAAAAGTTCACTTATTTTTAGACAATTACAGCTCCTAGAAAATTACTACAGAGGCTGCAATAACAATTCACTGCAGGAACAAATTTGCTGATTTAATCTTGGCTGAATACATATTCTTGTATTTAGCAATAAAAAATGCCTATTACAAATATTTTATGCATCTGGGTCAGAACAAAGCCTGTCCTGAAGCTTTCTGACATGAGGAGGTAGAGAGCTGCTGTTCAGATAATGCCGTACAGAATCTTGAGCTTCTTGTGACTTAAAATGATCACATTACACTCTATAACCTGAAATGATTTTTCCAGTTTATTTAAATAGGTATAGCGTGTTCATCTGTTCTTTTCTGCCTTAAGAACATTAATGAGGAGCTTGAGAGATGGCTGGGAGTTAAGCACACTGGCTGCTCTTGCAGAGGACCTGGGTTCGATTCCCAGCATCCACATGGCAGCTAACAACCACCTGTAACTCCAGTTACACACGATCCAACACCCTCTTCTGACCTCTGTGGGCAATGCATGACATGGGTGCACTTACATATATGCAAACAATACACTCATACACATAAAATGAAAATAAAAAATTTTAAAAGAATGTTAATAGAAAGAATGCTTGAAAAAGAACTGCTAGTGAGGAAAAATAGTGTGTAGTTTATATTAAGGCCTCTATAAATAATTGCTCCAATAAACGACGAAGAAGCCATTGGAGGCTCAAAGAAATGCTTTGCAGAATAAGACAACATAAAAGCAGGTTAGAGATGTAAGAATCCAAGGGAAGAAGGAACTGTGCTCAGATGTGAAATCATCATGAGCATCTAGACCTCTTTCCTCTCATATATTTGAGGAACCTACAGTGATTCCTGACAGCAAGAGGCCATTTAGCCTATGGAGAGACGTACTCAGGCCTTTCATGAACTGTACTGTTTTCAACAGTGTGCTTTCATTCTGGAACACTCCAAAACAGAGAATAAGAAAATCATGCTCTTGAATTCCAGAAGTGTTAAGAACAGAAGTCCTGGGCTGGGAATGTAGCTTAGTGGAGAGTTCTTGCCTAGCATGAACAAGGCCCTAATTCAGCTCTCAATACTGTAAAAATAAATAAAAAAATAATTCAAGTCCTAACTCCAAAACAGGTAACTGATTTGCAACTGTATTAAAATTTTATCTATAACCTATTAACGAACATGACAAAACTTTTCAAATTTAAACCATATTTGTTTGCACTTCTAAGACTATGGAGATTTGTTATTTTGTTTTGAGAGAGGGTCTTGCTATGCATCCCAGGCTGGCCTCAAACTTGTAATTCTCCTGCCTCAGTTTCTTAGTGCTAGGATTATAGGCATGAGCCACCACACTCAGCAGGAAAATTTTTTTTTTTAACCAAACATAGTACTTATACTGGTAGAAAGTTTGTCTTATCAAAGAACAAAAGATATTTTGGGTAACTAAGCTAATTTAATCTCAAATCTGTTACCTACCTTTTGATCTCTATGACATACATAAATCATTTTATTGTAGTTCCTCAATAACAAATGCCACCTAAACACAAATGAGTTTACATATGGCCTATAGCAGACCCCTTTAAAATTTTTATTTTTTAATCTTATTATTTATTATTGCCTACATGTATGCAATGCCCACAGAGGCCAGAAGAGGGCCTCAGATTCTGCTGGAACTAGAGTTAAGGACAGGTATAAGCAGCATGTGGGTGCTGGGAACTGAACCTGGGTCCTCTGCAAGAGCAGCCAGTGCTCTTAACCACTGAGCCATCTCTTCAGCCTCAGGCCCCTCTCTCTTTTTTTTTTTCATTTTATGTGTATGAGTATATTGCCTGCATGTATGTAAGTGCGTTCATATTGTGCAATGCCCAAGGAGGTCAGAAGTGGGCATCAGATCCCCTGGAACTGGAGTTACAGATAGTTGTTAGCTGCCATGTGGATGTTGGAACCAAACTCAGGTCTTCTGCAAGAGCAGCCAGAGCTCTTAGCCACTAAGTCATCTCTCCAGCCCCACCTCTGTCTTTTAAAAGAAAAAGATATTGAATACATAATACATTTTATTTTGAAAATTATTTATGTATTTATTTTTATGTGTATCAGTGTTTTGCCTGCATGGATGTGTGTGCAATGCCTGCAGAGGCCAGAAGAGGATATCAGATCCCTGGGAACTGAAGTTATGAACAGTTGTTAGCTGCCATGTAGGTGCTAGAAACAGAACCTGGATCCTTTGAAAGAGTGGCCAGTGCTCTTAACTACTAAGCCATCTGTTCAACCCTGCATAATGTACTTCAAACTCTAAAGTCTAAACTTAGGGTAAAGACAAGAAGAAAAAATAATCTAATTTTACTCAGGTTTTCTTGACCAAACAGTACTCTCCTCTGTGGTTTCTCCTTTAGTATCTCTCCTTTTCCACTTCTTTTTACTTTTTGTTTTTGAATTATTTCCTTAAACAGGCAAAAATGAAGCCTTAGTAGAGAAGTTCACAAAAATTATTCTTGGTATTTGGTTCCTGTCTCCCTTCTTACAGATAGGTAACTTTCCTTTGACACAAACTCAAAAACATTTTATATGAAAAATCAGTAACTAAAAGGACATTAGGACATCATATCCTATATAATAATCAAGCCACACATGCTGATCATACATTTCACAGCTATACCAGTGACACCTGATTCTCTCAACAGTGTTTTAGAAAAAAAATTATCAAAAGTGCAGACAGGGACTGGGGAGATTTTTCAGGACAGTGAAGTGCTTGCTGTGCAAACTTGAGAACCTGAGTTCAGATCCTCAGAACCCACATTCTGGGCATGGCAGCACACACCTGTAAATCAGGAAGGCAGAGACAGGAGGATCTTTGGAGCTTGCTGGCCATCTAGTCTTACCAAATCAGTGAGCTCCAGGTTCAGTGAGAGATGCAGCCTTGAAAAATATGGTGGAAGCTGGGCGTAGCAGCACACGCCTTTAATCCCAGCACTTGAGAGGCAGAGACAGGCAGATCTCTGTGAGTTCAAGGCCAGCCTGGTCTATATAGTGAGTTCCAGGACAGCTGGGGCGACAGGGAGACCCTGTCTCAAAAAGACCAAAATATATATATGGTGAAGCTAGGCATGGTGGCACACACCTTTAACCCCAGTACTTGGAAGCAGAGGTAGGTGGATCTCTATTAAATCAGCCTAGCCTGATCTATATAGCATGTTCCAGGTCAGCTGGGGCTACAGGGAGACTGTCAAAAAAAGGAAAGAGGAAGGAAGGAAGGAAGGAAGGAAGGAAGGAAGGAAGGAAGGAAGGAAGGAAGGAAAGAAAGATATGGTGGAGAATAATAAAGACATTTAATACTAACCTCTGGCCTACACACACGCACACACGCATGCATGAAGTGAAGATGAATGATACAGTGTGTTGACTATTAAAACATGTACCTGGTTGACGATAAATATTAAGGGTTAAAAACTTACATTTCAGTCATCTGATTTAGAAAGCTTCCGCTTCACATGTCGTGGGGGTTCCCAAGTGTCACTATCATCTGTTTCTTCTTCATCCTCTTCTTGATCATCAATAACTTCCTCTTCTTCCTCATTTTCCTCAAATAATTCTATACCTAACTCAGATCTTCTCTGTCTTTCTGCAAACCACTCTCTGACCTGCTCATAGCCCATATGTGATCTGTTGACAAGTTCATCGAGGTCTTGCTCATTAAGAAATTTGTGCTTCAGGTAATAATCCTTAAGTATTGCAGTTCCAGTTTTAAATTTTATGAGCGACGGTACCCTGTCCCAGGTGTTCATTCTTTTGCCTCCTCTCGGCCTCCCACGTGGTCTCCCTCTCCCCCGTCCTTTGGGTCTGCCTCTTCCTCTTTTCCTGTGGGAAGACAGGCCATTCATACCGCTGGAATTGGAGCTTTGATAGTAGTAGTACCATTTCAAGTTCCCATTCTTCCAAGCATACCGGGTGTCCCCAAACCAACTGACTATGTCTGTTCTCGCAAGTCCACTTTCTTCAGCCAACTTGTCATACTCTTCTGGTGATGGCCACTGTGTTCGGACAAACGCACTTTTAAGGATGTGCAATTGCTCCGGAGTTTTCTTACATATCTTTCCTGTATTTCCTGGCTTAGGTGCAACTGATTCATCTCCAGGAGAAGTTTCTCCAGGTTCTTCTTTGGAACTACCTGCATTGTTTTCATCCACATCTGTTTTCTCATCCTTTAAAGCTTTTGATTTCTTCCTCTCTGTAAACCAAGCATCAATTTCTCTTCTGGTAAGTTTGGTTTGCACTCTTAACCTATTCAATTCTTCCTCTGTAAGTACAGAGCTGTTGAGAAAACTTGCCTGAAGGACACGAATTTGCTCTGCAGTTTTCTCTTTAAATTTCTGGGGTGCGAAGTCCGGAAAGGGATTCCAGGATTGTTTATGCTGTGAAGGAAGCACAGGAGGGGGTTCTGCTGTTTCCTCACTGGAGTCTATAATGATGGTGGTGGAGGAATCATTATTGAGGTGTAAGCACTGATTACTCTTTGAATTTCTCTGGTTGTACCTTGTATCACTAAACCATTTTTTAATCTCACCTTTTGTCAGGCCTGTTATTTTCATAAGTCTAATGATTTCTGAGTCATGGGGAAACTGATTTTTAAGGTAGCTAACTTTTAATTCTGCCAATTGCTCTTTAGTCTTTTTGGCTCGAATACCAAATGAATCAGGGTTTACTAGTGCAGTTTCAGGTTTGACATTCTGAGAAGATGGAACTGCAGCTGTGGCTGGTTTTGTTTCTGTAGCAGGCTGTGTAGCAGGTGCTTGACTTTTCTGTACATTTGTTTGATTTGGAACCCCTGCCACTGTCAAGGCTATAGGTGCTGTTACTGGCAAGGTATTTGCTCCAGCTACTTGAGTAAGGACCAGACCTGGCTGACCAACTATTTGGCATGTCTGTAAAATAGATGGTAAACCATTACTCCCTGTGGAAATGTGTGTAGGAATGACAGTTATGGTCTGAGGTACAGTATGTACTGTTCCATTGAATTGTTTCCTTCTTGCCTCCTCTACTTCTTCAGGAGTCCAACTCACACCATGCTTTAAACGTTGGGCTGAAAACCATATCTTGATCTGTTCCTCTGTGTATTTTGCTTGAGCAGAAAGAACTGTAATTTCTGACATTGTAGGATAAGGGAATTTGTTGTAGGTGTTAAGTAGAAGAGGATTGTTATCCAATGCAGCATTGTAGGAAGGAATGCTGTTAACAGGGATTAAGACTTTCGGGATCAAGTTCGAGTTCTGCTGAGCAGATACTGCAGTTATCACCTGTGCTAGTCCAGGAAGAACAGCTGCAGGGGTCACTACTGTGCCAGCAGGATGCGGATGGATTCTATTGACAGTGGAGGTACTAGTATTGGATTCGGAGGCTGAAGTGCTTGTACTTTCTACGTTTTCTTCCCGGTCTGCTTGGATTCCATTCTCTTTCTCTTCAGGACTGTCCTCAGCTGAGTTATGATGGACTGTAATTCGTTTGTTTTCTGCCTTATTTTTCATCATTTTCATGATAGGTGTTTTACTGATAGAGATTCCTGAAGAAGAAATGTCTGTGGCATCTACTTGTTCTGTATTTTCCTCTTTAACAAAACTACCATCAAAAGTCAGATCATTTATTGTTTGTTCAAAGATTGTCTGGTTATTACGTTTCACCATAGTTAGCTTGAAATTCTCTTCTCCTGGATGATATTTCATATTATGCTCAGAAAGTGCATCATACCTTTTGGTAAGAAAGTTGCATTCAACACAAACATAGGATGAATTGAGCACTACATTAGGATGTTCTGAATCCACATGGAAAGTAAACATATTTAGATCTGGAGTTTGAAAAGTACAATATTTACATTCATAGCCCCCTTCAACTTTTTTATTTTGCTGATTGTCAGACTCCACAGATTCATGAACTTCCTCGTCACTGGAAACACTCTCTGCTCTGGCATTCTCTACAGGTGTGAGGACAGGTGGACCTTCATCTAAATCTGATATCAACTCAAGGTCTGGATCCTGCTCACTGGCAAGGACCATGCAAGGTGTTGTTGACTTTCGTCTGCTTGCCATTTCGATGTTAGGGGAAAAATCTTAGTGGTGATTTAAAAGCACTGAGGCTTAAAACTGTTTAGAATTCTTCATTTAAAAACAATGGCTTCTGGTTCTTCAAGTCCACTTTTGTGCTCAAGTTTCATTAGCAGCTTTTGCATGGTGCAAAAAAGCTTATTGTTGGCAGATGAAATACTGCTTAACTGCTGAAATGTTTGAAGCACAAATCCAATCACCTACATTGAAATAAATTTAAAATGAGTGACTGATTCTTAATCATATCACAGTTATATTTTGCTTACGTTAAGCTGCTGCACAAGTTAGTTATAAAGATCTACAACGTCACAAGAATCAGGAAAAATGTTCTGAGAATCTAAATAGATTTCTGACTCTAAGTTGGTGCATGAGGCATTTATGGGTCAGAACAAACATGTTTATTTGGATCTTTTAGTCAGCTAGATATTAGAAAGGAGGGAAAGAGCCTGCTATAGTAAGTCACTAGTATCTGTGTAAAGTAGCAATCTGTTAAGAAGGAAGGAACTTTAAAGGTATAAAAAGTAGTCACAGATACCAAAAACAGTGGCGTGTTAGGAAATTCAGTCCATTAGTTAGGTCTTCCTACTGTCTGTCTCATTAACTTAAAAGCAAGCTCAAAGCCAGGCATGGTGGTGCACACCTTTAGTCCCAGCACTTAGGAGGCAGAGGCAGATGGATCTCTGAGTTCAAGGCCAGTCTGGTTTACATAGTGAGTTCTAGGCCAGCTGGGGCCATAGGGAGACCCTGTCTCAAAAAGACCAAAAAAAAAAGCTAGCTCAAGTACGGCAAAAATAGCAAAGATGGAAGATGAGTGGTCCATGTTTCAGAAATACTATATTTAATCATTCTATACAGTGCTATCAGAATTTATAAAACATGTCTAAGCTCACCATTCTGATATGAACCCCCAATACTGAAAGAACAGAATTAATTGAAGCTCCTTATGGTGCATGCAGTTCCCTTCACTCTTTGGTCCCAACCTCACTTTTCTGCCTCATCTCTTGCCATCTTTCTCCCTCCTTCTATGTTCCTATGTTTTCTACACACCAGAAATACTTGTCATTCCAGGGACATCCAATGTACTTTCACAGCTTTGCTCAGGCTGTACTTTATTTCAGAACACTTGTCTACTTGATATGGCATCTTTCTGCACTATAAATCACTTCTATTTATTTTCTAGTCCAGCACTTAGCACATTATAGGAGACCACTGTTAGCATTTGTTCCTGCTCCTTACCTTCACCTGTGGGCTCCTTATTAAAAACACCATGCCCTATTCTTTTTTCCCATTAACAACTTTATTATGATAAAACAGTCTCTGAAACTCTAGACTAAGCAAAAGACCTTATATCTTCCATCTAACACTCTCTCAGCTGAGCTACTTTGGCTGACCTCTCTCATTCTTGTAAGCATCTCTAGTGCATATAAGAAACCAGCACTCAAGCAGGTAATCGCTAAGTGTTTATTAAATTGAATGAACAGGGACAAGAAATAGTTCCTCAAAACCAGCTGGGTCTGAGGACATTACCATAAACAACAATAGCTGAAATTCACAATACTGATATTGAGTAAGCAATATGAATTACACTCATACAAATTTATTTGAAAATTACTGAACTATAGACTTGAGACGGGTGAATCTCATAGTATGTGAACTATATCTCAGTAAAAACTATTAAAATTAAAAGGCATTCATTTTGCCAGGCATGATGGCACACTCCTTTAATCCCAGCACTTGGGAGGCAGAGGCAGGCGGATCTTTGTTTGAGGCCAGCCTGGTCTACGTAGTGAGTTCCAGGACAGCTGGGGCTACAAGGAGACCCTGTCTCAAAAAAAAGACAAAAAAAAAGCATTCATTTTAATAAAATTGCAGTTGAAGAATTTATAAAGATTTGAGGCTAAGTCAGTCGAGGTTTATGGTTTCTGAAGTCTAAGCCATATTCAAATGAATAAAACTAGTAGTCTCATATATTTGCCACCAAAATTTCTAGCTAATTTCATTTATGAGCATCATCCTTTTCATAGATAAGGTAAAGAAAAAAAGAGTTCACTTCAAAGACTATGAAACAAAATTAGGGCCTTAAGAGAAGATGCACTGACTCAGTAATTTCCAGAAAACAGAGATGTATGCTCTGACTTTGAAGGCACTATGATCCCTACATCTGATCACTCAAACAGACCATATACCCATTTGACAGATCGAAGCAGCAGATATATAAAGTCATAGTGAATGCCCCTTGCTCCCTCATTTCCCAAGATATGAAACAAAGAGATCAGCATAGTGATATATGGTATCAATAGTCTGAATCTATACTCTTAAAATATTCTTTTAGGGGCTGGAGAGATGACTCAGTGGTTAAGAGCACTGGCTACTCTTGTAGAGGACTCAGGTTTGGTTCCCAGTACCCACATAGCAGCTAACTACCATTGGTAACTCCAGTTCCAAGGGATCTGATGCCCTCTTCTGACCTCTATGGGCATTGCATGACATGGGTGCAGACAATACACTCATCTACCTAAAATAATAAATAAAAAATTATATACACACAGACCAATATACTCATCTACAAAAAATAATATTTTAAAATGTTCTTTTAAAATGAAATCATAACATTTGCAAGAAGATGCACAAACTATCATTATGCTAAGTGAAATAAGATATAGACATATACTGTGTATTTTCTCTCCTATACGGAATTGAGATTTGTGTGTATGATGGCGGTGTTGGTGAGTCATCAAAGTAGAAAGGGAACCAAGAGAGGGAAGGACGGATCTCAAGGGAAAAGAAAGAAAGATGGAATGCATGTGGCAAGAAAGCAGAAGGAAAGACCATTTGAGGACAGGAAGGAGGGGGATGGAGGAGCACAAGAAAGGGGTATGAATAAGAACAAAATGTAATGACAGATATGTATGAAAGTGCCATAGTGGGCCTGGGGAGATAGCTCAGATGGTAAAGTGAGCAATCATTAAGACCTGAGTTTGGCTTGGGGACTCATGTAAAAAGAAAATCCCAGGCTGTGGAAGCAGAGCAGACAGATCCTTGGGGCTTGTTGCCAGCCAGCCTAGCTCTACTTGGTAAGTTCCAGGTCAGTGAGAGAGCTAAGGAACAACACCTGGTATTGTCCTCTGGCCTCCATACATGTGTGCATGTGTACCTCACACACAAATACACACAAAGTACCATAATAAAATCTATTACATTGTGTACTAATTTTAAAAATAGAGAAAATATGGATAACTAGTTGAAATAGTTTTTTCTACAAAACTCTTGATTTCTAAGTGATTATAAAGAATCTCTAAAATTTAAACTATTTCCTACTAGTTTTTATTTTAATTTTATGTGTATAAGTGTTATGCCTGCATGTACGTAAGTGCACTCATGTCATGCAATGCCCACGGAGGTCAGAAGAGGATGTCTGATTCCGTGAAACTGGAATTACAGATGGTTGTTAGCTGTCATGTGGTACTGGGAACTGAACCCAAGTTCTCTGGAACAGCAGTCATTAGTTCTCTGGAACAGCAGTCAGTGCTCTTAACTACTGAGCCATCTCTCTATTCCCTTAAAACTATGTCTTGCCAGGGCATGGTGGCACACGCCTTTAATCCCAGCACTTGGGCGGCAGAGGCAGGTGGATCTCTGTGAGTTCGAGCCCAGCCTGGTCTACATAGTGAGTTCCAAGACAGCTGGGGCTACAGGGAGACCCTGTCTCAAAAAAAGACAAACAAAACAAAACAAACAACTATTTCTTAAATAAATGTTAAAAAGTAAATATATCTTAATCAAATAGGGGTCATTGGTGTTTTCAAGTTTGTCAACAGCTATTTGATCACTGTTTATCATTAAAAACAGAATTCTTGGAGCTCAGTGGTAGCAATGAGGCTCTGGATTCAGTCTCCAGAACCATAAAAAAGAAAAAAGGACACAGGGAATTCTTCAAATAGCTCTAAATAAGGAGAAGAGCAATGTACTAACAGCATACCCCAGACAAAAATAAAGGACAGTTGCTGAAAGCAGGAGAGTAAGCTACTTTGCGACTATTATTCTCCTGGATCACAGAGGCACTATATTTAATTGGATTATACTAATAGCTAGAAGTCAAAGACAGAGAGGTTTTTTTTTTTTTTCTGAAAACACCTGAAAGTGATAGTTTTCAAACTTGTTTTAAGCAAGGGAGCCTTTTCTTCAAACAAAATACTCTGAGAAGCCCTAATGCAGTGAAATTATGTTTATGAATGGATGCAACTGGAGATCATATTTAGAGGAATACATCAGTCTCAGAAAGACAAATATCCCACTCTTTTCTCATTTATGAATCCTAGACTTTATGCAGATACATAAAACCATTTAGGTATAGATATACGTCCTATATAGGATATGAAAGAAGCAAATCTGATGGGGAAAGAATGGGAGTAACAGGAGTAGGGGGGTGGGGGACACTGGGAGGGTTAGTATGGTCAAAGGACCTCATATACTTTGTGTATGGTGTATGGAAATGTCCTTATGAAACCCATCCCCATGTACAATGAACATATGCCAAAATACATTTTAAAAATGAGAGAAATTGCCGGGCGTGGTGTGCATGCCTTTAGTCCTAGCACTCGGGAGACAGAGGCAGGCGGATCTCTGTGAGTTCAAGGCCCACCTGGTCTACATAGTGAATTCCAGGACAGCTGGGGTTACAGGGAGACCCTGTCTCAAAAAAGACAGAGAGAGAGAGAGAGAGAGAGAGAGAGAGAGAGAGAGAGAGAGAGAGAGAGAGAGAGAAATAGGGCTGTGAAGATGGTTCAGTGGTCAAGAGCACATGCTCTTGCAGAGGACCCAGACTCAGTTCCCAGCACCCACAAAGATACTCATAACTGTCTGTAACTCCAATTCCAGGGTATCTGACACCCTCTTCTGACCTCTGCAGATATTGTACACACAAAGCACACATATATACATGGAGGTAAACACTCATACACATAAAAAAATTGGTTGCTTTTTTTTTTGAGACAGGGTCTCTCTGTAGCCCTAGCTGGCCTGGAACTCACTATGTAGACCAGGCTGGCCTCCATCTCACAGAGATCTGCCTCTGCCTCCTGAGTGCTGGGATTAAAGGTGTGCACCACCATGTCTGGCTTAAAAAGTGAATTTTTTTACTCTTCTGAAATTTGTTAGAGTAGGCAGAAGCTAAACTACTTCCTGACCAAGTCCATGGATCCCACACCACCACTTCCACCTCTGAGGGGTTCCAAGAAATTCCTTAAAAACTTAAATACTTTCAGGACAATCTATCAATTTCATCTAAGTCTTTTTACTATGTCACTGCTGTGTCATGAAACTAACTGGAGTAAACTCAGTGTGACCTTTCACTTAGCTGAGGAAGGCAGGCCAACTGGAGGCTGACACAGGAAGGTCTGGACAGACTGGGCAATTTAGCAAGACCCAGTTTCAAAATAAAATTTAAATTTAAAAAAGGGCTGAAGGTTGCTGTTAGGGGGAAGAACCCAGGGTGGGATGGGATGGGGTGGGGTGGGGTAGGGTGGGAGGCCAGGCCCTAGGGCATCTGGGTTGGAGTAAAGTAGCTGGCAGTAACAAAAGTCACAGGAGAAGCTACGCAGCCCAGGTCTCTTTACTCTTCCGGCTCTTCAGTTCTCGGGGTCAAACGTCTCACTTTTTCATCTTACCTAGTATATAAATAAGAACATGTTATCATATTATTGCCCTTTTTTTCAAAATTTTATTTTTTATTTTATGAGTATGAGTATTTTCCCTGCATGTATACAGATGCACCCCGTGCTGTGTAGTGCCCACAGAAACCATAAAAGGGCATCAGATCCCCTGGTACTGGAGTTACAGATGTTAGCTGCCATGTGGGTGCTGGGAATCAAACCTGGGTCCTCTGCAAGAGCAATCAGTGCTCTTAACTGCTGAGCCATCTCTCCAGCCCCCCAAATTATTACTTTTACTTCTCTTCCTATTAGTCTACTAATTCTGATTTGGTGAGAATTTAAGGAGATTTAAACAAATTTTAAAAGTTTAAATATTTGGGGGACTGGAGGGATGGGTCAGTGGTTAAGAACACTTACTGCTTTTCCAGAGGACCTGGGTTCAATTCCCAGTACCCAAATGGCAGCCAACATTGGTCCTTCACTTCAGTTTCAAGAGATCTGATGCCCTCTTCTGGCCTCTGCAGGCACTGCACATATGTGGAGCACTTACACACAGGGAAAACTCATACACACATAAAATAAAAATAAGGATAAATTTTTGAAAGCGTAAATATTTTTGCTATGGTCATGAAAAATATAAAATATCCATACTATATTATAATCTAGTGATTTATACCCAAATTGTGCTTTCTCCCTTGAAAACACTGGCCTCAGGAACACATAACTTAAATCAAGTTACTGAAAAGAGAGGCTAAAAAAAAAAACAAAAAAACTAAGGGGGCTGGAGAGATGGCTCAGCAGTTAAGAGCACTGACTACTCTTGCAGAGGATCTGGGTTCGATTCCCAGCACCCACATGACAGGTAATATCTGTCTGTAACTCCAGTTCCAGGGAAATCCAATGCCCTCTTCTGACTCTGTAGGCATTGCATGACACAGGTGCACCTACACAGATGCAGGCAATATAGTCATACACATAAAGTAAAAATAATAAAATATTTTTTAACTGTAAAAATAAAATGGAGAGGGCTGGAGAGATGGTTCAGCGGTTAAAAGCACTGACTGCTCTTTCAAAGGACCTGGGTTCAATTCCCAGCACCCACATGGCAGCTATGAACTGTCCTTAACTCCAGTTCCAGGGGAATCCAAAGCCCTCTTCTGACCTCCGTGGCATTGTACAACAAGGGTGCACTCACATACATGCAGCCAATACACTCATACACATAAAATAAAAATAATAAATAAAATAAAATAAATAAATAAAATAAAATATTGAGGACATCAGACCCAGGGAAGGGTACAACACTCTCACCTGGACCCCATAAAGAGGAGCATATCTAGCACTGAGATGCCCCCGCTTGCATTCTTAATTCCAGTTCCAGGGGAATCATAAGCCTTCTTCTGACCTCTTTGGCATTGTACAACAAGGGTGCACTCACATACATGCAGCCAATACACTCATACACATAAAATAAAAATAATAAATAAAATAAAATAAATAAATAAAATGGAAAGATGGCTCAGTAGTTAAGTACTTACTACTCGGGGCTGGAGAGATGGGTCAGTGGTTAAGAGCACTGGTTGTTCTTGCAGAAAACTCAGGTTCGAATCCCAGCACCCACATGGCAGCTAACTGTCCATAACTCCAGTTCCAGGGGATCCAATGGCCTCTTCTGTCCTCTGTGGGCATTGCACGACATGGGTGCACTTACCTACATGCAGGCAATACACTCATACACATAAAATTAAAACAATAAACAAAATATTTTTAAAAAAGAGTACTTACTACTCTTCTAGAGGACCTGAGTTTGGTTCCCAGTGCCCATGTTGGATAGGTCACAACTGCCTGTAACTCCAGATCCAGAATATCAATCAGCCTCTTCTTTTTTTGTCTTCTTTTTTTTTCTCTCTCTTTTTGAGACAGGGTCTCAAAAAGGTCCAGCTGACCTGAATTCACTATGTAGACCAGGCTGGCCTTGAACTCGCAGAGATCCACCTGCCTCTGCCTCCCGAGTGCTGGGACTAAAGGCATGCGCCACCACACCCAGCTCTTTATTTTTTAAAATATTTTATTTATTATTTTTATTTTATGTGTATGCGTGTATTGCCTGCAATGTAGGTAAGTGCACCTGTGTCGTGCAGTGCCCACAGAAGACAGAAAAGGCTGTCAGATCCCCTGGAACTGGAGTTACAGTTAGCTGCCATGTAGGTACTGGGATTCAAACCCAGGTCTTCTGCAAGAACAGTCAGTGTTCTTAACCTCTGAGCCATCTCTCTAGCCCCCTCAAACAGCCCCTTATGGCCACCATGAGCACCCACATACCTGTGGTACACACTGACACACACATAAGTAACAATCAATCCTAAAAAATAAAAAATAGCTGGGCAAGGTGGTACATGCCTTTAATCCCATCACTTAGGAGACAGAAGCTGGCAGATCTCTGTGAGATCCAGGCCAGCATGGGCCACATATAGAGTTCCAGGCTAGCTGGGGCTACAGGGAGACCCTGTTTCAAAAAGATAATTAATTAATTAATTAATTAACTAGGCTTTAGGGGATGGAAAGGTGGCTCAGGGGTTAACAACACTTGTTTTTCCAGAGGACCTGGGTTTGACTCCCAGCACCCACATGGCACTTCCGTTATTCTCTTCTGGCCTTCACAGGCACTACACACATACCAGTAAACATACCAGCAATCAAAACACTTTTACAAATAAAAATAAATAAATAATTTGTATTTAAAAAAAAAAAGGCTTCAGTCAGGCATGCTAGCATAGACCTATAAATCCAAGCACTCAGGAAGCTGTGGCAGGAGCATCACAAGTTTACGACCGCATGATCTACACAGTGAGCTCAAGGCCAGCCTGGGCAGCATAGTGATGTCAACACCAGCCTGAGCTATACAGGGAAAGAAACTGGCTTAAAAAAAAAAAGACTTGATAAAAAATTGAAACAAAACCTGATTCCCCTGGGTGCTTCAAATTGCTTCAGCCTCTGGTTACTTTTATATCCAACTGTACAGACCTATGACACACTTTCTTCATCTGAAGCTATTTGCTCACTACAGTCTCCCTTCAGTTTTCCATGTCTTTGCTAATAAAACTCGAGTCCTTATATTATTTAGCAGAGTTCTAAAGAAAATATGAGAATCCACCCAAAAGCTGTAAAATTTTGCCAAAAGGCTCAGTTCTGCACAATGCACTTAGCCTAAAAATAGATCGAAGAACAAAAAAAGGAGGGGGGTGTGGAGATAACTAGTTAAGTACTTTCTGAGTAAGCCTGGAAACCTGAATTCCATCTCTAGTACTCACATAAAAAAGCCAGATGTGGTGGCATGCTTGCAATCCTAGCACTAAGGAGACAAAAACAGGCAATCCCTGGGGCTCCTGGCCAACCAGCCTAAGGTACTTGGCAAGTTACAGGCAACTAAGAGATCCTGTCTCAAAAAACAAGGCAGATGGTGCCTGAGGGAAGACACCCAAGGTTGTCCTCTGGTCTCCACCTACACACATACACATGTACACCCACATTCATATCAGCACACACAATGTACCCCCACATACGAACATGTACATACACACACACACACACAAGAATATATATCTTCAGGGCTCTTATTATAAAGTCATAATTTTGGAGGAAACAAGAAATTTAGTACAACTGACCCATTTCATGGAAGAAGAAAGTCAGGCACAGAATAATTAATCCACAGTGACATTGTGGTTCTGAGTAAAATCACAGGTTTAGTTTCTTCTCTTGGTAGTTAAGTATCTGGAAAAGATATTCAATTGCAACCTAAGTTTTCTCACGTATAAGACTGTTTCATTCAACAACAATTTGTGGAATGTCAACTGGGTGCCAAGCACTGTGTCAGGCATTGATGCAGTGGTGACTAAGACAGACTGCCTCTATTTAGTCAAGCATTAGCAGTGGAGCAAGGAAAAGAGGCAGTCAACAATTACTTGGGATAACTATGACCAATGGAGAAAAGAAGCAGCAGTAGATCTTTTAGGAGCAAGGCACAGGACACTTCTGGAAAAGCAGCAGGGAAGACCTCTCCAGGGGGACTGGAACAGTCTGCCTCAAAGGCTGAGTGAGCAAGACTGCTTTTTACAACACTCATGCACAGTAACAGTCACACTGAGGTTATCTTTCAGTCTCTGAAAAATTCTTCTGGGAGAATAAGAAATAGCATTTGCATATTATATACTTTCTCTTTTTAAAACTAATTAGCTGACAAAGACATTAAATGAAAAAGAAACAGCAAAATTACTACTATCGAGTCAGGCATACACTTGTAATCCCAGCACTTGGGAGTTAGAAGCAAGAGAATCAGTTCGGAATCATCCTCTACTGCAGAGAGTTCAATTAGAGGCCAGCCTGGGCTATGTATGTAAGACTCTTAGCTCAATAAAGAAAAAAATAACTAAGGAGGTGGGGAGGTGGTTTGGTGAGTGAACACTTGCCACTCAAGCATGAAACCAGAGTTCAGATTCCCCCGAACCCATACAAAAGCTGGGTGGATGTAGCCAGCCACTGGTGATTCCGACATTCAGGAGGCAGAGCAAGGAATCCTTGGGGAATGCTAGCTAGACTAGCTCAATCAGCAAAAGACTCTACCTCAGCAAATAGAGTAGAAAGAGACTAAGGAAGATACATAACATCAACCTCTGGCCTCCACATGTGTGCACATGCACAAACACACATGTGCCAACATACATGTGGACATACACACAAAAAAACATGCTGATGGTGTGGTTCTGACCAGTCTCCCTCTGTTATTAAAGTGTAACAACTCTGGGATAGGAAAACTGCTGTAGATAAATCACTGTTAGGTGACAAGCACCTCCTCCCTCCATTTGAAGGTCAACTAAAAATGGTTCCAAATCAATTGGGGGACTTTGCACTATTTACCTGTAAAAAGAGGTTAAAGGTCAGTTGCACAACTGGGTGGCTCTGCAACTAAAACAAAAAGTACTATCTAAATACATCTAGTACTATACATATAATTATTACACTTGGAAAGTGGTATTGGTTAGCCTGTCCATAGAGAAATATGTCTTTTGAAACCGATTAGATTAGTAGGTGTGATGCCATTATAAACAATAACCTAAAGGAGCATGGAAAATGCTTACCCAGGCTATTATATTTTTTTAAAAATATGAACAAAATTTGCATAGTAATTATAATAATTAGGAAGAATATGTGTGCTTATGGACAAAGAGTAGATGAAAAATAAATGAACTTTCCATCATAGGTGGAGTTTATATAGCTATATAATTTCTCTACTATCTGTATATTGTTTTATTGTAAACTATAACAAATAACAGTCTTAAGGCCTTGAAATTGCAAACAGGCTATAGTTTTTCAGGTTCACCTTAGTTTAGACCTAGCACCAACTAAATAAACCAGGCTTTTTGGTTGTGTGTTTGTCTTTTCAGACAGGATCTTGCTATAATGCCCAGCTGGCCTCAGATTTATAATCTTCCTGTCTCCGTCACCTTACCCCACCTCATCCTGAGTTCTGAGATTACAGGACTATGTTACCATGTCCAAGTCTTCTTTTTATTTTTAAGGGAAAGAACATGTATTACACAAAACTTTTCTAGGGGTAGCAGGACTCAATTGCATCGCATTCAGATATTTTAAGATTTTTTTTTGGTTTTTTGAGTTACTGTCCTATGCTCTGAAAAGCTGGGGTTGTTCTAAGAGCCCTTCAAATCCCCCAGTTCTCTGGGGTATAGATTTAGCCAAGCCAGTTTCTATAGATCTGTTCACACCCTGGATCTTCTCCTAAGGGTAAGAAGCGTCTCAACCAACTCACGATTCTGAACTCACCAAAATAATTTCAAAAAAAAGTTTCTCTACAGAAAGACTTAACGAAAGCAAATTTTATTTTATTACAGCATAAAATTTTTGGCAGTTCTTAAACAACTTCTGCTTTTACAGCCAGAAAGAATGCACTTGGCTTTCCATTATATCTCTAGAATTCAACAAAAGAGTTTATTAGGGCCCAGCAATATTTAAGAAAAAAATTTTTGAGGGGCTAGATATAGCTCAGGTGGTAGAGTGCTTGCCTAGCATGCAGGAGGACCTGTGTTTGATCCCTGGCCAGGTGTGGTGATATACATGACTGTAATCCTGGAAAACTGGAGGTAAAAGAGTGAGAATCATAAATTCAAGGTCATTCTTGGCCACATAACAAGTCTGAGGCCAGCCTGGGATGCAGTTCTTTTGAGATGTTGTCTCAAAACAAAAACAATAACAAAACAAAGTCTAGCCAGGCAGAGTAAGTAGCACATGCCTTTAGTCCCAACACTCGAGAGACAGAGTAAGAAGGATCTCTGGGAGATTGAGGCCAGCCTGGACTACAGTACAGCAAGTTCCAAGCCAGCTTGGGCTACTGGGAAACCCTGTGTCAAAAAGGCTAAAAACAAAACAAACAAAAAAATCTTCAAAATATATTTCTGCTCTATATGCATGTTACTTCATTAAATGCCATTTATGGAAAAGCTAGTAATAAAATCAGTTTTTTGTTCAAATAGTGTATATCTAAATTTAGAGACAAAGAGTGAAACAAGAGAGATAAAATCATTCAAAGGACGATTCCCACACTGACATTCAGAAGAAAATGGCATAGTCCTTGGTAAGGAGTAAACGTAATTTGCACTTAGAATCGTTACCTCTGCTCCATGAAAAACTATAATGAGGTAGTGCGTTTTTTTAAATATTAAAAAGTAAATTCTCAATATACTACACATAAAAATTTAGTAATTGTTTCAAACTATATGCTCATTAATAAAAATACTCAAACAATGTTTATTTAGACAAAGCATAACTGTATTCTCCAAGACTTTTTGGAGGGGGAGGACCTGTCTTATATTTCAAATTAAATGATTAACAGATAACAGTAAGTTGGCCTAGTTAGCCACAAAAGTATGTAATTTTGGTAAGATTTTATATGAATAAAGACAGCTTTGTTTTTAACACCAATTCTGGTGTTAAAAACACCGTTAAACCCAGCACTCGGGAGGCAGAGACAGGTGAATCTCTGTGAGTTCAAGGCCAGCCTGATCTCTATACACAGCGAGTTCCAGGTCAGCTGGGGCTACAGGGAGATCCTGTCTCAAAAAGACCAAAAAAAAAAAAAAAAAATGAATGTTTTAGAAGATACTATAGTTTCTTAAGTTCGCACTAGTTTTTACCTAGCATCAACTATATAAAACCGTTGTCATGGAGCAAAGAGATGCACACTGAGAATCCTGGGGCTCTGCATTCTTACCTGCTTCTGAGATGTCTCTGGATGACAGTTCCCTGTTTCACTGTTCCCCTGAGCTCTAGTTAGCCAGCTGAAAATACTTATTTTCATGTTTGCATTCAAAATAAAAGTTACAAATCCAGTAAGATCACAAAATGCTTAATAGCAGAAGCAAAGAATAATGGGATCCAATTAAAACAAAAGGTATCTAGCCACTGTTTAAACAGAAGAGAGAGCAACAGACAGACATGCAGAAATATAAAGGTACCATGGTCTTCACAGACTTCAGGCTCTTTCACATTTAAAACACAAAAATATTTTGAAATTGTCAAGTTCTTAAAAAAGCATTAAAATTTTGACAATACAAATTTGTACCCGTCCAAAAATTTTTTTAAATTACTGGCACCTAGAATCATTATCTAAAAAATAAATCTCAAGAAAACTGCCAAGACAAAAAAGAAAGGGAGAGAGCGGGGAGGAGGAAGGAAATCAAGTAATAAAGTGAATAGACAGGAATGGACATGAGAAAAATGAAGGTGTCTAAAGCTGGGGCCAAAGGTAACCTAATTTCAGAGGATCCCTTTCCTAATGCTAATGAAAGATGAAAGGTGAAGAAACTCTCCTACCTGTTTCTGTTCAACTCAGAAAGGGACCTTAAAGATGCTGAAGACTAAAGAATCCTAGTTGGACAGACTGCTCCCGGAAGGCTCTGCTCGCAGATGTGAGGAGAGAAGTATCTCTGGACATAAGCCCCAGTTTCCACACACTGCTGTGAAGTGCCACACATGGGGTGTGGGAGGTGCATATTCCATTAAGACACATAAACTAGCACTATTATGAAAACTTGAGGCTCTCTGAGAGCTTAGGAATATAGCCCAAAAGTACTTTTCTCCTGCAGATGGTTTGCCTACTTTCCTCAAGGTATGTTATCTTTCACACAAAAATGCTATTCTTAGTTCTAAGTCAGATTATCTTTGAGAAGCTGAAAAATCATTCATCTGACCATTATAGTCCATTTTTATAAAATAAACTATTACCTACTTCAGTAAAGATATATTTATTTGACTTTTAAAAATAGAAAAAATAGTAATTAATATTGACAATTTTCTATTGTTAAGAACTCTATGAATATATTTTAAATGAAAGTGACCACTACATTATTGGTCAATCCCTCTACATTTTTAAAATAAGACAAAGAAATAGTAAAATTTCTAGACTAATTTCCCCACAAAAAGGTCCTGCCCTGATGATGATGATCCCTTGTCATTTTACTATTGTTACTAGAGTATCTGGTGCAGTGCCTGACACATGGTAGATTTTGGTAATTACTTGAAAAATCAATGATAAATAAGCCATATAAAATTTACTATGAGGGGCTGGAGAGATGATTAAGTGAAGAGCACTTGCTGCTCTTACAAAGGACCCAGGTTCAGTTCCCAGCACCCACATGATGGCTCACAACCATCTGTAGCCTCAGTTCCAAGCGCTCTAATTCTCTCTTATGTCCTTTGCAGGTATCTGCACACATGTGGTACACATATATATACTCAGACACATGCGCGCACACACACACACACACACATAAAATAAATAAATCTTTTTTATTTTAAATCTGTAAAATATGCGTTTTCCTTTTAAATTAAAGCAGTCGATATTCATATAGCTGTTAAAGTTTGAAAGCGAATGCTTTTTATTTTTTATTTATTTTTTGGTCTTTTTGAGACAGGGTCTCTCTGTAGCCCCAGCTGGCCTGGAGTTCACTATGTAGACCAGACTTCCCTAGAACTCACAGAGATCTGCCTGCCTCTATCTCCCAAGTGCTGGGATTAATGGCCTGCACCACCATGCAAATGCTTTTTAAAAAACTATTAAACATATAGATGCTGTTGTTTTTTAAATGATTTTTTATTCATATGTAGATAGGTGTGTCTGTTTGGGTGTATCCCACATGTGTGCAAGCACCTGTTGAAGACAGAGGGTGTCAGATCCCTGGCACTGGAGTTAAGGGTGGTAGTGAGCTGCCCCACAAGGATGATGGGAGCCAAATTCGAGTTCCCTGGAAAAGCAGTGAGCACTTTTAACCCAACCACTGAATCAGTTGTTTTTAAGGGAAACATTTTAAAAAGAGAATGACTGTCTTAAGACTTCTCTTTTTAATGTGCATGTGCCTGCGTGTGTGCATGTGGTATGTGCGCATGCATGTGTGTGCATGTGTGTGTGTGTGTGTCACACAAAGGTTAAAAAAGGGCATCAGATCCCCTTGAAACTGAAGTTTACAGGCAATTGTGAGCTGCCCAACATGGGTGTTAGGAACTAAACTCTGGTCTTCCGAAAGACCCATCTTTCCAGCCCCTTAAGGAAAGTTCTTAAAACTTTAGGGAAATAAATTATCATGGAATCTAAAGTGAGTACCTTTGTGTTGGAGTTTTTCCATGCCTGAATAATGAAATACATACTTGCCATAGCTTCCTCAGCATTCTGTTCATTAAAGGGAAGGGTATCCCTTCAAATTAGGTGCTTAGCTCAGGCCATCATTACAAATAATCCCAAAGTAGCTAGCAGTCTTCTCCTACAAAGAAAAAAACAACAACATTATTTTGTTATTCTAGATATGATTTAGACTTAAAGAAAATTTACAGCTCATGCCTTGACTTTTCAAAAACATAATTCTGGGGGAAAACATAATTCCCTACAGAAATATATATCCACATATATATTATATATGCCAAACTCAATACTGATAGGAAGCACAAAATTTTAAGTGCACATTAAAAAAAATCTACTTATAGGGGCTAGAGCACCATGGCTCAGCAGTTAGGAGCACAGGCTGCTCTTGCAGAGGACCTGGGTTCAGTTCCCTGCACCAACATGGCAGCTAAGAACTGTCCTTAACTCCAGTTCCAGGGAATCCAACACCCTCTTCTGACCTCCATGGGCATTTCATGTATGCGGTGCACTACATACATGCAGGCAAAGCATTCATACATATAAAAATACTTTAAACTTTAAAAAAATTAAAAAAAAAACAAAGCTGGGCATGGTAGCACATGCCTTTAATCTCAGCACTTGGGAGGCAGAGGCAGGTGGATCTCTGTGAGTTCTAGGGCAGTCTGGTCTACATACTGAGTTCCAGGCCAGCTGGGGCTATAGGGAGACCCTGCCTCAAAAAAAAAATTTTTTTTTGAACATTTTTTTAATCTGCTTATAAACAATAACCAAGTAACCAAGTAACTATTATACTATTTTCAACTTCAAAATGTCACTGTGAAAAACTACTTCTCAGAAGCAGCATTTAAGGGAGGAAGAACTCATTCTGGCTCACGGTTTCAAGGTGACAAATGCAAGATAGCATTCATGGCAACAGGAGTGTGAAGTAGCTTTCTCACACAGCCATGGATCAGGAAAGGAAAAGCCTGGGCAGGAAGCCTGGCTGGGCCATAACCCACAAGACCTGTCCTTTAGAGACCCATTTCCTCCAGCTAGGTCCAACTTCCGGAAGATTCCACAACGTCTCAAAACAGTACCACCAACTGGAGGCCAAATGTTCAAGCACATGAACCTGTGGGGGACACTGCACATTCAAATCCTAACATTTTTTAAATAGAAAGGTACTATCAAATGGCATTTCATTGTGTTGTGAAGTATTAGTATTGTATAATTAAAAGATTAAAATTGATCATTCTCACAGCCAGGCGTGGTGGCACATATCTTTAATCCCAGCACTTGGGAGGCAGAGGCAGGTGGGTCTTTGTGAGTTCAAGGCCAGCCTGCTCTACATAGTTGAGTTCCAGGACAGCTGGTGCTACAGGGAGACCCTGTCTCAAAAAAAGACAAAAAATTAATTAATTAATTAAAAAATTAATCAGTCTGAAAATTCAGAATAATTTCTAAAAATGCTTGGTATATTACCAAAGTATCTGAAATGGAAAAATTTAGTAAAACTCTGTGTCTTACTAGAATAACAGTAATAATTTTGGAGGTGAAAATATTTTTGTTGCTGTTCTTAAAACAAAGACACTCTAAAGTTCAGAGAAATGGAAAATCATCTTATGATGATTTTTCCAAATACCTTATCTTTTTATTCCTGCTAATATTACATGCAAGTTTATGAGGAGCCCTCTTAAGAAACAATGTAAATACATTAAACATATTCTAGTGGGCTGGAGAGATGGCTCAGCAGTTGAGAACACTGACTGTTCTTGCAGAAGACCCGGGTTTGAATCCCAGCATCCACATGGCAGCGAACAACTGTCTGTAACTCCAGTCCCAGGGGATCCGACAGCCTCTTGTGACCATGCACAATACAGGTGCACTTACCTACATGCAGGCAATAAATACACACATACATATAAAATAATAAATTTTTAAAATTTTAAAAGAAAATATGTGTAACTAATTTTAAAAAATCTTCTAGAAAAACTTCTAAGTTGAGTAAAAGCTTAGGCCAAATAACCACATTGTTTTCATGAAAAGCAAAAGAGCATTTTTCTGGCAGGCCAGCAGAGCGCTGTACTGCCTTTGTAGCGTGGGCTTCTACAATTCTTCTGCTTTCTGTATCTCCACACTCAGCCACTCCTTGCTATGTATCCACAGGATGTGGACTAGAAGACAGAATAGAAAGCAGCTGCCAAAGAGGGAGGTTATTTTCCAAAATGAATTATTAATTTGTAGGAAATTGGTAACCTATTTCATTCCATTCTTAGATCACAGAAAGTGCAGGGTGTTTTACCAACGAGAGTCTCTGAGATGAGCTGCCAAGACACGTGAAAGCACAAAGCAACCAGACGAGCAAGAGATGAGATCTTTGATACTTCTGAGGGAAAATCACTTTGTCTGACACTGCTCCACTTCCTGACACTGAGATTCTTTAGGAACTTTCTAAGTCAGAGTATATATTTTTTTAATTTAAGGTGAGTGGATTTAAAAGTAAAAACGCTCAACCATGTGCATTACATAATGAAAATCCATAAACTGTTCTGGCAATAGATACAAAGATCCAAAGCCTGTGCTCTAGAACAAACTAGATTCAAATCCCAGCACTACATTCACTACTACTGGGTTTTAGACAAGTGACCTTGCCTGCCTGTGCCTTATCTCCCTCATTTATAAAATGGAGCAAATAATAGTGCTTAGTTAATAGGGCTATTGTGACTGAAAGAAGTAATACATTTAGTTTTCAGAATATTTCCTGGTAAGAACATGAATTTTATTTGGATTTTATTTACTATATTATTGTCAACTTACATAACAAAGGAAGTCTTTGTTTAAAATTTGGTCGGTGTCAATAATAAAATATTTTTAAAATCTGGACAACAATCAATCAGTAAATTTTACTTCCCATTTTATTATCCTGAGCATACAAATCAGGCTTGAACAGTTGAACCAAACAGTAGATAAACAACAGGTCGTAACTCAATCCCCTTATATATAAATATACTCTAACTTAACCTTCAAAATTACTATATGAGGCTGGGCATGGTGGCGCACGCCTTTAATCCCAGCGCTTGGGAGGCAGAGACAGGCAGATCTCTGTGAGTTCAAGGCCAGCCTGGTCTACATAGTGAGTTCCAGGACAGCTGGGGCTACAGGGAGACCCTGTCTCAAAAAGACAAAAAAAAAAAAAAATTACTATATGACACATTTTAAGGGGTATTTAAAAAAATTCACAAATCTTTGACATAAACATTCCTCCAATGAAGAGGAAAAACTGTTCTTGTTAATGCTTACATTCACAAATATAGTCCATACCTGAAGTAGATTTAGGATAGAATACAAACATAATTATGAGTGGATATAACATACTAAAACCTTTCATGACCAAAAAAAAAAAAAAAAAAAGAGGGAAAAGACCCAATTTAGAAAGAGGAGAGTCACATCATATGAAAAATATTAAATCACCCAAAATTAGTGACAGCTGTTATTTTATATTTATTTGTATTTATTTATTTAGGTGGGGGAGGGGTGTGTGTGCCACGTCGCAGAGGACAACTTTCCAGAGTCAGTTCTCTTCTACCATGTGGATTCTGGGGATCGAAAGCAGGTCATCAGGCTTGGCTGTGAGTGTCTTTGCCCACTGAGCAATCTCACCTGCCTGAGAGCTGTTATTTTAAATGATAAATATATACTTATGGCTACCATTTACTACTGTAATTTCATTGGATAGACTCTGATATAATTTTTTAATTCTAAATCTAAAAGCTGAAAATAAAAGCCTTGCATTAAAAATGATTTATTCAAGCTGGGCCTGGTGGCACATGCCTTTAATCCCAGCATTTGGGAGGCAGAGGCAGGCGGATGGAACAATATGCTTAGCCAGCTTCAGCCAGGATGGGAAAGACTTGTACGTGGAAAACTTTGAAACATCGCTCAGAAACATTAAGGAAAATGCAGGGAACCAGGCATGATGGTACACTCCTGTAATTCTAGCACTCAGGAAGCAGAGGCAGGAGGATGAAAAGGTCCAGGCCAGCCTGGGCTACATAACAAGACTGTCTCAAAAACACATACGTATACAGGCTGGAGAGTTGGCTCAGCAGTTACAGTGCTGGCTGCTCTTGCAGAGGACCTGGGTTTGATTCCCAGCACCTACATAATGCTTAACAACCATCCTTAACTCCGGTTCCAGGGGAATTTGATGCCTTCTGACTTCCATGACTGTTGCATGGCACATACAGGCAGGCAATACTCTCATACACATAAAATAGAAGAGGTGTATGAGTGTATTGCCTGCCTGTAGACAAGTGCACTTGTGCTGTGCAATCCCCTCAGAGAGCAGAAGAGGCTGCTGGATCCCCTGGAACTGGAGTTATGGACAGTTGTTAGTTGACATGTGGGTGCTGGGATTCAAACCAAGGTCTTCTGCAAGAATAGCCAGTGTTCTTAACTGCTGAGCCATCTCTCCAGCTCAATAAAATTTTTTTAAAACCATATACATAAAAAAGATTTATTCATTGACTTGACTACCAGTCTGAAACTGCCCATCTACACCTGTTTTCTAATATCTGTCATTTTACTTGTTTAAGCCAAAGGTACATGCCAACTTCATGCCTTTGTTTGTGTGTGCACGTATCTTCATGCTTCTTAAACACACTATAGATTACTGATTACATAAAATGCCAATAAATATCTTTTGAGAATAAAACCTGAGGAGGCTTGACAGACAGCTTAGCAATTAAGAAAGTGTACTGCTCTTACAGAGGACCCAAGTTTTTTGTCCAGCAGTTCACAATCACCTATAACTCCAGCTCCAGAGGATCCAATACCTCTGGTCTCCACAGGCAACACACACACACACACACACACACACACACACACACACCTATTTAAAATAACTTTTTTTTTTTGGTCTTCTTGAGACAAGGTCTCTCTGTAGCCCCAGCTGGCCTAGAACTTGCTATGTTCACCAGAGATAGAACTCACAGAGTGATTTTTTTTTTTTTTAAGCCAGCCTGGACTATACAGTGAAATTTTTGTAAAATACAGAGCTCCAAAATGTAAAATCAAATGTATATTCTGATTAGTAATCTAAGCCACCAACCTTATTCAGGCAAATCTGGTTTTCATGAGTAC